AATGTCATCCCTTATTCAAACGAAACTCAAGTGATATCTCAAAGAAAGTTACATTAACCCTTTTGACTCACCATTGAAAATACAGACAATAGGTTTATCTAAACTAGACATTACGTAGTAATTTTATCTAGCGTTGTGACGGCGTCGATTTTGGGTACGTCGCAGCGTTGAGCGTCGTCTTATTTTATGGCGGAGAGGAAGGTATTTATTACGGTACTGCGTCGGGACGGATATAAGGTAGGAAAAACTTGGGTGGTTCTGCGCGACGAAGGGTGTCGTTACAGGTATTATGAAGGAAAGTAAGGCGAAAGGACGTTGATCGTGGGGACGTAGAAAGATAGAGAAGTAGGGCGGCGGGACGTTAAGGGTCGGGATGTAAAAAAGTCCTGGAGGTAAGTCGTCGAGACGTAAAAGGTAGAGAAATAGGACGGCGGGCGGGATGTAAAAAAGTCCTGGAGGTAAGTCGTCGAGACGTAAAAGGTAGAGAAATAGGACGGCGGGACGTGAAAGCGTTCGGGAGGTAGGTTGTCGAGACGTACGAGCGTCAAAAGGAGGTAGAGTAGGAAATGCGTCGGTACAGGAAAGGTGCTGAATACTTAACTTGAAATATAACTTAATTTGAAAAGTAACTGAATTAGGACTGGATTTAAAATAATAATTACTCCTGCGTTCCCCGAGGTATTTATACCCGTTTTAATATTATGCCCACTATCGAATTTTTAATGTTTTTAAATAAAACTCTGTAATTAATTTGAAACTAAATATATTGCTTATGGAATATCCCATCTGATGAAATGGATGAAACTAATGTTTATTTACAAAATGTTAACGAACGATACCTATAAACTAACGAATACAACAAAATACTGATTATGATAACACTGAGTATGTATTGAGTATTTCCATAATTACTTTTTTACCTGATATGAATCAATTACAAAAAATATCAAGAGTGAAATACCAAGCAAGCTCTATCACAATGTTTTCTTTCCGAGATTGATATCGGAAATTTGAATACATAAAAATAATAAACTTCAGGACTCTTCAATGGAAATCTGCAATTTAATAACGTATTGATAGAAGTGGTAAAATTATTGGATTTAAGGCTACATTAGGAATTAGGTAAAATAGAGGTAGAAAATTTAAATTTGTTAAACAATTAATTAGGAATTCTGCATTTAAAAAATAGAATTCTGCAAATAAAAAATAAAGTTCTGCAAAAAGGCAAAATATTTACAAATAAATATAGAATTCTTTAACCATGTCAGAGTTCTGTAATCAAAAGCCAGAATTCTGCAAATAAAAGTCAGAATTCTGAAAACAAAAGTCAGAATTCTGCAAATTAAAGTTTCTATACGAAATAAGTCATAATATCTAAAATTCCTTAATGAAAAAATAATATGCACAAGTCAGAATTCGTAAAAAAATACGGATAATAAAAGACACAAAACAAGTGTAAAATAAGAATGAGAATAAAATGGTAATTCTGAAAAATAAGTCAGAATTGTGTGAAAGTAATGTCAGAATTCGCATTATCAAATCCCTACAAATAAAATTTGAAATTGTAATTTTTAAAATAATTGAGAACAGAATTTCAAAAGACATTTGCGAATTGAAATATTAATAGATTTCTGAATTATAACATAATTTAAAAAATGTAACACTTATCATCATAAAATTATATTTCCAATACATTGGAAGTTAAAATTACTCTACAAGTCAGAATTCGTAAAAAATTCAGAGAATAAAGAACAGAATTCTGTAAAATAAGTCAGAATTTCGCAAATAATAGTCAGAATTTAATATTATAAGTAGGATTTGTTTATTAGACAGTATTTAAAAAGAAATGTATTATTATTCTAAGAAAAAAATATATATTTCCAACATAGATAGGAAGATGAAACAAAATAATATTATGAATTCTCAAAAAAAATTAAAATTCCGCAGTGTAAAAATAAGAATTTAGCAAAGTCAGAATGACGTACAAAAATAAAACTTTACTATAAAAATAGAATTCTATAAAAGTCCAATGAGAAACAATTCCAAACGGTAAGAATTGTAATTTCGTAAAATAAGTCAGAATTCTGAAAAATCGTAATTTTTATAACTGAGATCTTTTTAAAATGAAATACAAAATACTTGGGAATTCTAACAGAAAAATAAATATCATTTAAATTGAATGTGTTAGAACTAAGATAGAATTTCAAACAGTAAGAATAAGAATTTCCCAAAATAAGTCAGAATTCTGTAAACAAGTCGTAATTTTTATAACTGAAGACTTTTAGGGACAGAAAAATAAATACCATTTCAAATTTATGTGATAGAGTTTGCCTGCCATTCGGTCTCAAAACAACTGCTAAATTGATACGAAAAAAATTCGTCAAATTTGAGCAGTATGAAAAAACAGATATGATTATCAAGATATTTACGTTCTGATGTACAATATATACACAACTGTATTATTTACAAAGGTACTGGGTTAATATAATATGCTATGTTTTGATTATAGAACGGTCAGTTTCCTCCAAACTTTCACAAAAAAAAAAAAAAAATATTAATTAAAACGAATCCACTGGATTTTTTTTTTTAACATAAAAGAAAAATATTATTAGCTGCATTTTGAACAAAAATCGATATAATTATGTTCAGTTAAGAGGTCCGTCCTGTACTATTCATAAAACCTAATTTACTATTAAAAAGTCAAATATGCTTAAAAACAACGTAAGATATGTAGAAACTGATTAAATAAAGTATTTTAACATAGTTAACATTAAATTGCAAGAAAAATTATAGCATAATAAAAACAAGTACAAATTTCTTGCATTAAAACATCTTAAATTGTCTTTTCAAGATCATTCTATTCATTTTCTAACGTATTTTCGAAAGCAACAACGACGATATGTCAAAGTTGTCACTAAATTAAGATCTGGGGAAATTTGAAGTAAAATAAATCTGAAACACTGCATTGCATGAATCAATTGTAAAACTGGTTTATGCATTGGATTCACTTTCATCGATTTTTCCCCAGATCTAGGGAAATTTTTAGTAGAGTAGATCTGACAAAATCGCATTGCATTAATCAATTAAAAGACAGATTTATGCATTGTGATGTTGCCAGAGCTCTACAAATTTCCACAGATCTGGGGAAAAATCGATGAAAATGTACCCAAGTGGCTAGTAAGCCTGTCAACCATCTTTCTAAGTATCAAAAATGTTAAATTGTCATTTAAACGTCAACTATTGACATTGACTAATTTTTGGTTTTAATGAATCAACATGTAGTTATTTTTTTTATTATTGAAAATATCGCCTTTTTTTATTCATCTACAAATCACTAATTTTCTAAACAATATTAAAAAGAAACGATTAATCTTTTAGTAAGCCACTTGGGTATTCTTTCATCGATTTTTCCCCAGATCTGGCAACTCTGCGCCGCATGAAATCAATTGTACGACAGATTCATTCAATGCGATGTTACCAAATTACTGGGAAATTTGTAGTATAATAATTCTGGCAACACCGCATTGCATGACTCAATTGTAAAACAGGTTTATGAATTCGGTACACTTTCATCGATTTTTCCCCAGATCTGGGGAAATTTGACGACGCGCTGCGTGAATCAATTTGAGGACAAATTTATGCAATACGGTATTGCCAGAACGCTACAAATTTCCCCCAGATCTGGAAAAAAATCGATGAAAGTGGACTCAAGGAGCATACTATCTAATGTGAGACTTCTATTTATTTATTATACCTATTAATTGTCACTCTAAAGATACCATTTCGCAAGCCGAAACCGAGACCGACTTCAAAACGCGACGCGGCAGCAAGAGAGACCAAAAACGGTCTCTTCACGTCTGAACTCATGTAATTATATGAAACACATTTCGGTAGAGAGGAGACCAACGACAGCAGATTCAGTATGACAATATTTGCCGCCTTACTTCTGTCTTGGTGACGGATCGCTTGTCGCGCGTGCCCAAATGGTACCTTAATTATAAAAAATGTTATGTAGATAGTAAGCCACTTGGGTACGTTTTCATCGATTTTTCCCCAGATCTGGGGATATTTAATAGATTAAATCTGGCAACACCGCATTGCATGAATCAATTGTAAGAAAGGTTTAAGCATTGGGTAATCATTCATCGATTTTCCCCAGATATGGGGAAAATTTGTAGTAAAGTAGATCTGGCAACAACGCATTGAGTGAATAAATTTTAAGACAAAGTTATGCAATACGGTGTTGTCAGAGCTCTAAAAATTTCCCCAGATCTGGTGCCTTACTATCTAATGTGTAAAGTAACACACTTGTCAATTGTCATCTTAATTATCACTGTTAATTTGTCATTTAATCGTCTTAACTATTATGACATTTTAAACTAATTTTCGATTTTAACGAACCAACATATCATTATTTTTTTATAATTGAAAATATCGCCTTATCGCTTTCAAAAATATGTTCTACCGTAATTGCCGCCATTTTTTTATTCGTCTACAAAAAGTATAACATAAGAATGGCACTAATTTTCTAAACAATCTTAAAATAAAAACGATTAATCTTTTAGTAGATAGATAGTAAGCCACTTGGGTACACTTTCATCGATTTTTCCCCAGATTTAGGGAAATTTGTAAAGTAGATCTGGCAACACCGCACGAAATCAATAGTACGACTCGTTCACGCAAATGATAATTCCTCAGAAACTTCGCTGGAGAAGGGCGTTGCCATTAAATAACAAGTTTTTGAGGAATTATCAGTCCTATTTACAATCGATTTATGGAGTGCGGTGTTGCCATATATCTACTTTATAAATTTCTCCAATCAATTGTAAGTACGATGATTATTCCTTAGAAAATTCTCTGAAGCGACATTGCCATTTAATAAAAGATTCTAAACAGGCAACGCCGCTTTTCCAGCTAAGTTTCTGAGGAATTGTCAGTCATACTTGCGATTAATTCATGCGATGCGTTGTTGCCAAATCTACTTTACAAATTTCCCCAAATCTGGGGAAAAATCGATGAAAGTGTACCCAAGCGGTTTACTATCTACTTTTCCCTTAAAAATATAAACAATAAATTCGACTTACCAGTAAGTATAAAAATTAATTTGGCACGTTGATCTATATCAATTTGAGGTGCTGAAAATTAAAAACGAAACGAACCACAACAGAACTGGAATACTGATAAAACGAATTTCGTCACTATTTTAGGACGATCTGTATAACAACGATAATTTTTAAATAGAAATTAAAACGTTTCCAGTTCTGTCCATCAAAGAAATTTCCTAACAAGGGCGGTATATGATTGTCTATTGCCAATTTGATTTGTCCCACCCTGTAACACAACCTTAGAGATAGTATAACAAAGAAATTTTACCTATGAGAAAAGAAAAGCAATTTGCTTTTCTTAATTTTCTTATTATGGCATTAAATATAAGTCGTTTTTTATATCAAAATCGTCCAAACATGTGAATATTGATGATATACCGTTAAAAATATCTTCAACTTAATACAAACTACTTTGTGCATTTTTCTATAAATCTATTTATGTATTTATCAGTCTTGAAATAAGTCTTTCAAACTTTTGTAAATGCCTTTAATGAATTTTAAAGGGTGCGTGAAAAATGTCGCCTCTTTAAACAATAAATGTCACTTTTGACAGTCAAAAGTCACTTATAAACTTCAAAACTAACTTGTAAATAGAAAAGTCAATTGTAAAAGTCAAATGTCACTTCAAAAGTGACTTGTAAACGCAAAAAGTCAATTGTAAACGTCAAATGTCATTTATAAACTTCAAAAGTGATTTGTAAATGTCAAAATTCATCCTATTTATGTCAAAAGTCTTCACCAATCGTCAAATATTACCATCAACCATTAAAATATCACTGTAAAACATCAAACTACAACCTAAAGTGTCAAATGTTCATCTGTCAAGTCGAAATCCAGAAGTTTAAAGATTATTTTCAGTAAAACGGCGTATATCACCAACATCACTTAAACCCCACCCTCTAAATCTGGAATTCGTGCCCCGAGATAATTTTTGACAGCTAACATTTTTGACAGCCGTCAATGTTACATCCGTTATAAGATTCTTGTTGATTGATTTCGACAATCGTTCAGTCTGCTTTGTTTGTCGAAATCCGTTGATAGTTGCGCGAATTCGATAGAGTGGAAGATTTCTACACACAAATTTCCATATCCTCCATTTTGATAACCGTATCGGAGCTGGCCAGTTTCAAGAGAGTCTTTTTTATTCTCAGAGCGGGCAATCTGACGGTGGAATTTTGATGCCAACACTCTTTCATCAATTTTGACATACCGGATAGCAGCTAAAACATCAGTGAAAGAGATATTAAAGAAAGGGATATCTGTGAAACAGGTTTCAGTGAAACATATATCAGAGAAATAGATATCAGTGAAACAGATAACAGTAAAACAGAAATCAGTGAAAGATATATCAATGAAAGAGATATCAGTGAAATAGATATCAGTGAAACAGATATCAGTGAAACAGATATCAGTGAAACAGATATCAGTAAAACAGATATCAGTAAAACAGATATCAGTGAAACAGATATCAGTGAAACAGATATCAGTGAAACAGATATCAGTGAAACAGATATCGGTGAAATAAATATTGGTAAAACGGATAGCAGTAAATCAGATATCAATGAGAAAGAAACAGGTATTAGTAAAATAAATATCAGTAAAACAGATATCAATAAAACAGACATCAGTGAAATATATATCAATGAAACAGACATCAGTGAAACAGACATCAGTGAAACAGATATCAGTGAAACAGATACCAGTGAAACATAAATCAGTAAATATAATTAAATCAGCTTCAAAATTTATTTTTCCTTTACTCACCGTATCGCTGGTCCATCTGTTGGGCAAACTCGGCCTCTGTTGATCCACGCACACCACCTTTCTCATGTCTTCGAAGCTAGGATCGCTTGGCACCACGTCGAAAAACGGCGGTTTGTAATCCTCCGCTATGCCATTGCTTATCGTCCGTCTGCACATCTCCCAATATACCAGACCCAAGGCATATATGTCGGCCCGTCTGAACGAGTCGAAATGGTCCATTCGGATTCTAAAAATTGGTAAATGTGATGTTTGACAATTGACAGTATCACCGAGATGTCAGTTTCATTTGTCAAAATTCGTAAACACGTTTTGTATTTGGTATATAGTCTGTTTATAGTTTTTATACGTCAACTTCATTTGTCATACGTCAACCTTATTTGTCATACATCAATTTCATTTGTCACACGTCAAGTACGGTTTCTTCTATTTGTGAATGAAATTAACACTGAAAGTATTTTATGCAGCATACTTACGTTTCGTCAAGCACCTCAGGACTCATGTACCGCTTTGTACCGACTCTAGGATTCGAACCTATATCCAACTCGTCAGTCGTTTGAAAATGCGTCACGGCCAGCCCAAAATCGGCTATGCAGCAGGTACCATTGCTTTTAACTAATATATTTTTGCTTTTTATGTCCCTATGAGCTATCGCGGGTTTTCCCTTGAGTAGAAAAAGAAGAAATTAGAATCGAATCATCAATAGTAAAGATAGAACGAACCTGAGTACCGAAAATTTCAGTGTGCAAATGGACCAAACCATTGGCCAATGATAGACAGAGTCTCATCAGCTGCTGGTGAGACAACGACGTGTAATTTAGATAGTCGTACAGGCTGCCCAACGAGTGATAATGCGTGATCAACCATAATTGAGTACAAGAGTTGCGTGACGTCATGTCCGATCCTATATAACCCAAAATATTTTCGTGTCTGAGCAAAATCGTGCTAAAAATAAACGTTTATTTCTACAGTAGCCCAAAAAAATGTTTGCTGTTTAATATTACCTATAAATCTCGGTTTCCCTGGACCAACTGGCCTCGTCTCTGGAAAAGAAAATTTTGACGGCGATACTTTCGCCGTGCCATATGCCCCTCCAGACCTCCCCGTACCTTCCCTTGCCGATGCACTCGACCAGCGATATCTGTTTTGCCAACGTCCTTTGGATGAGTAGTGGCAAACCGGAACCGCTTCCTGACGTCATGGATTGTTCCAGGTACTCTCTTAGAGTGCTGTCGCCTGCAGCGGTGGCTCTGAGCAAGTCGTCGGACGCGTAATAGGTATCGGGATCGGCTCTGTTTTCGTTGCATAACCTGCAGAAGGATTTTTTTCGATATCAGCGTCTTTGGCGCCCAACGTGGGGCAGTCAAACTTACCTATTTCTGTAATATCTTCTCATAAAATACAACGCTATGACGCCGATGGTCCCAAACACTACCAAAGGACCCAAAATGGCAGCGAATATCTTCAATCCGTATATAACAGAGTCCGTGTACTGACTAGTGCTTTCTTTGTATATGGCCGGCAATTCTGGGAACTCCCCATCGTTACATAAATCTCCCACGCAACAGTCAATCTGAAATTGACCGCTGGCATGGCGTTTATGTTGGACGGTAACCGAAGGTGTTCTAAAAATAATGGACATCTTTATCATGGTATTAAAAAATGATAATCTTATTTAAGACATTGGTTTTAAATTAAATTAAAGACCGCGAAGATCCGTAAACGTGTCTGTAGGTTGGATCCTTTAGTACCATTCAAAATAAATATTTACCAAAATTTGTGTCAGCTGTTAATGTAACACATCAATGCATTGCATTTTAAAAACATTGCTACTTAAAGCTCGAAAGTTAAACTGAAGATTTTAGAAATCAATGTGATTCTCAGTTAGAAGATTTTTTCAATTAAAATAAAAAGAATGAAGCAAAATATCTCAAAAAATATAAAAGAACAAACGACAGACGTTTCTTAGAACGATTTAAACTAATACAATTGCAAGTTTAACAGCAAATAAGGTACGCTCATTAATCTTACAGTAGTAAAGTCCACTGACTCTCGCTTGTTCTGATCATATATTAATGCAAAAAAATTAAAATTCACATATTCTAGGCACCATGTTGTTTGAAGATGAATCATTTTCCAAACCTCAAGAAATAGTTGATAAGTTTAGTCAATTCTTTGAAAGTGTTTTTGTAACATCATTGGAGCCAAAGCAGGATAGGGTTAATTTATTTGAATCATAATTTTATGGTGACATCATTAATATTGGCCATATTAGTGAACCTGACATCATACAAGCCAGTCAAAAATTAGGCAATAAAATGACCCCTGGATCTGATGATAAACCATCATTTTTTGTTAAAGATTGTATTTATGTCTTAGCTCGTCCATTAAACATAATATTTAATTGAGCATTAAAGTCAGGAAAATTCCCTGAACAGATGAAAGAGGCAAGAATTATTCCTGTTTTTATATCCGGTGATAAGACAAATCAAAAACTATCGTCCTGTATCTATCCTGTCAAAATTTCTCAAAAATCTTCAAGATTGTTATTTACAATCACACATTCGTCTGTTTGCATCCTAACATCTCCTTCGCAGCATGGTTTCTTAAACAGAAAGTCTACTTAAAGTAATTTACTTATAATAACTCAACGCTTATCTGAAGTGGTTGATACAGGTGGGCAAGTTACATTGATTTTTCAAAAGCTTTTGACAGAATGAATCATGGGATATTGATTGATAAGTTGAACCAATTTGGTTTTTCTCAGGCCTTAATAAGGTTCTGTAAATCATATTTTCTGGAAAGGCAGTAATTTGTTTCTCATAATAATTATTCTTCACGAGTGTACTTTGCAAAATCAGGCGTCACTCAGGGTTCAAACCATGGACCATTGTTATTTTTGTTATTTATTAATGATTTCGGTCACTATTTAAATTCTTACTGACTTATTTATGCAAACGACTTTAAGAAATATGTCTTAGTATTAGACATGTATGACTGTTTAGCAATTCAGCAGGACCTAGAAAATAGGTTAATGCTAAATACATCTAAGTGTAAACTGGTATACACCAGAAAAATATCTACTATATATTTTTATTATGATATGAATGGTTTAGTTTTGTCACTTTGTTCCTTTATCACTGATCTGGGTGTAACTTTTGACTGAAAACTAAGTTTTGTTGAGCATATTAATATGTGGATTACTGCTCATCCTGCGCTAGCAGTGCTATTAATAATCATTTCACTAATGTAGTATTCAATGATTATACCACCATGTACGTCCAAAATACATTCCATTTTATCAGTGTTAGTGCTCATAATGTTGTTGAAGCCATTTCTTCACTAAAAAACACCAACTCTGTTGGTATTAACAGTATTTTCACAAAAGTTATAAAAACAATCTGTCCACCTATTGCTCATGCTCTGGCACGTATAATAAACACATCAATTGCCTTGGGTAAATTTCCAGCAGATCTAAAAATGGGGGTAGTAACACCAATCTTCAAAAAAGGAAACCAAAAATTACTTGAAAATTATAGGCCAATTACTGTTCCTACGGTATTTTGTAAGGTTTTCGAGAAATGTGTATACAAACACGTGTTGTCGTTTTTATTTAAATATAATATCATATCAGATCACCCACATGGTTTTCTTCCAGATAGGTCAACTGAGAGTGCCACTATGGGCTTTTTCAATTACATATATGGTCAGTTGGATAAAAAGAGATTTGTGGGGGCGCTCTTTTTTGACCTCTCCAAAGCTTTTGACTGTATTGATCTGAATATAATTGAAAATAAATTATTTGCTTTGGGTTTCAGAGGGGATTTTCTAACGTGGCTATCTTTATATCTCAACATGAGGAAAATTTGTGTTAACATTGAAGACTACAGATCTATATTTAAAGATATTGATCGTGGTGTCCCTCAGGGGTCAATTCTAGGCCCACTATTTTTCTTGTTATATATAAATGATCTTTCATCACAGATTATACTGTTATGTATGCTGATGATACCACATTGGCAGCTGATGCTCAATCTCCTGCAAAGCTTCTCTTAAAACTTAATAATTTAGCAAATCAATTTACTGTATGGTGCAAAAGAAATTCCTTAATATTACATTCTAGCAAAATTGTTGTCATGCAATTTTTTTCTAGAAATAGGATAACTGATAATATAAGTGTATATATTTCTTTCTCTCATATAACTAAGTTCCTAGGAGTTATGATGCAATATGAATTGGGATTCAAATGTCAATTTTATCTGTAGCGCTTACTATGCTCTTGTTTATTCTTATCTCTCTTATAACATTATCCTGTAGGGAAACTGTACAAATGCTTTAAGAGTTTTTATTAATCAAAAAAGAATTTTTAGATTAATTTTCAATTTAGAAACAAGAACTACATGTAGGGATTATTTTAAAAAAAATAATATACTCACATTCCCAGCCATATACATTTTTAAAACAATTCTGTATGTTTGTTTTCTGTGTATTCGTACAGATTGCCTTAAATTTATTAAATTAAGGAACATTGAAGCATTAAAAACATTATACTATTATACATCCTCACTAAGCTTCAGTAATGTTTTTGGTATCCCTAATAAAATTCACATGATCAGTATTGAATCTGTTCAAAGGAAGTTTTTGAAATATTTAGCTTTGTAAGTAAATGGTGTCTACTCTTCAAGATGAATCAATAATTATCAGCTAATTTTGGTTAGTTTTACCATGGAAAGTCTTGAATTTCGGAAAGTTCTAGCTTCATTGACTGCTTTATATCACGAATGGATTAATTGACTGTCCTGCTATTTTAGCTAAAATTAATTTAAATGTTCCCCAGTATAATAACAGACATTTAATTAATGTTAAAAAATGGGGGTAAGGACATTTTTTGGTCAGTACAAATGCAATACTGAGGCCCCATTCTAACAGAAAAATCAGGGTTTTTGTTAAATATCTTGGCAACCATTTAAGCTAGGAATATGCAGTTTGAAGCATTAAATTTCTCTCAAAGCGCTCTACATACGTTTTCCAATACGGTTTGCACAAGTGGATGTGAAAACTACAGAAAGTTAGCATTAGGACAAGCAGCGTTGTCAGTTTATATGGCCTGACCATGTTATACCGTTGGCATGTTATTAAATGTTTGAAATATTTTTATTTTCTAATTTTAAAAATATACAATAAGTACCCCTACCATTCTCGAATAATTAAAAATCCAATATCTTATTTAAGCAAGTTACTGTAAATATGGAAATTTACCATTATTAAAATAATAGCTATGAAAATCACAAAATATTGTTTGATAAATGACATTACTTTAATAAAATAATCAAAATAGTATACAGTAAGAAAGAAAAAGTGTAAATATTTACCTAAACTAAGATATTCAAGGTTCAATTAATTAGGAAAAAGATCATTCTTAAAACTGAATTAAATATATTCCATTTAAAATATATTATTTATATTATATCCCGTGAAATATACATCACTGATGTTACCACTGATGGCATTTTACCAAAATTCAGTCAGTATAAATATACAATAACTATATGATATAAAGGGCAGGTCATTTATAATGAATAACACTGTACCTAATAGTTTTCAGTAAAAATAACAAAATTTTCATTTGCACTTTTTTACCTATATTTAAGAAAAAATTAATTTCAAGTTTTTTATTGCAGATATTTTGCCACACACTGTATAATCCAATTAAAAATATTGTCATTTACTTTCAACACATGATTAATAAAAATGTCTTAACAAGCCTTATTAGTCACAAAAAACAGTACATAAAACAGTAGAAAGCTTACACATTGGCAGAACAGAAATATGGTTTGACAGGTGGAAATTAAAACCAAACCCCAGAAAATCAGAATTCATAATATTCAACTATAAAAAAAAAGCCAACACACCAACTCTTTCCATAAACAATACAGCGACTGAATGAGTATTTACATTTTAGTTTAACCTATAAAAAAGAAGGCATATCGACAGGGTCAATAACAAACTTTTGTTAAATAAACTGGAAACTGCTGGGATCATGGGAACATTATTGCAATGGCTGGGGAGTTATTTATCTGAAAGATTTCAAACTATTAAATTAAATAATTACAGATCTAAAAACATTCCCAATCCATCTAAAGTTCCCCAAGGGTCCCATTTGGGACTTTTGTTATTTTTATTATTTATAAATGATATTAAAGTTTTTATGCTTTGCTGATGACCTAAAGTGCTATCTAACAGTTTCATCTCTTAAGGATTGTCTCAAACTTCAGTCTGATCTGGCTAGGCTTGATGAGTGGTGTGTGAATGGACCTAAACATCACTAAGTGTCACTCAATATCCTTTACTAGGAAGATCAACAGGATTGATTATCAATATAATATCAAGGGGTACACCAGTGTCCCAAGTTGCATCCATTTGAAATCTGGGGGTTATTATTTGTCAAATAACATTAACACAATAGTACCCAGAGCACTTGGTATTCTTGGGTCTATAAAGAGAAACACATCAGACTTTACAAGTATTAATGCTATCAGGTTATTGCACTGTTGTCTTGTTAGGCCTCTGCTAGAATATTGCTCTTCAGTATGGAACCCCCAGTATACTTGTCACATTCATAGATTAGAACAGTGTCAGAGAAAATGTCTTCGCTACTTAGCATTTAAATAAAATATTCCAGGGATAGATTTTCCTATGATTTTGTGGCACTGCAAGAGACATTCTCTTCACCAACTTTGAGAATAAGAAAAGATCAGGTAGATCTGAAATTATTTTCTAAGCTCATTAATTATATGGTTGACTGCCCTACATTGATTTCAAGCCTGTTGTTGGCAGTCCCAGAAGCACAAGGTCAATAAACAGTTTTCACCAGCCCTACATGAGAATTAATACTTGCCTCAATTCATTCATGCCTAGAGTTTCACAAAGTGAAAGTCTAGAATTTTTTAATTCAAGCTTTTCTAATTTTGTGAGGGTGTTAAAACTTACTGTGACTTAAATTCCCTAGTCTTAATATTAGTTGTTTCGAATGATGTTTGTTGTTATATGTCATATTATTTAGATTGACTCTATTTGAGGTTTTTTGTTTTGATTTGTAACTTTGTACTGAAAGTGGGCAAGGCTCGTGAATAAATAAATAAAATAAAAACTGCTACTCATATCTACAAAACAATATGCAGACCCACTTTAGAGTATTGCCATCCCATATATATTAATTCAAGCAGTCACTATCAAAAACATTGAAGTAGCTGAGACAAGTACACTGCGATCCATCACTAAAACAAGATACCCAAGAAACCCATTATATAATTCACCTAATGCCATTCTCTATAAAATAATGCAATTTAAACCAATAAAGCAGCGATTAATACATTTAATTAAAAAATTTTGTAAAAAAGAAGAGATTAGAGATATAATTGAACCACTATGTAGACTCTGTGATCCACTTAGGCATGTCAAGAGGAAGTCTCCAAAAATGACCACATGGGAATATATAACAGCAGAGTGGGACCTTTAATGCTCATAACAAAATTCTATTACTTTTTGTTTTTTTCATTTTTTTGTACACATTGTTGTATTTTTTTTTTTTTATTTTTATCAAATTATAATGTTCATTCGCATTTTGTATGTAACAGGCTCAAGAACTTCAGTCCATGGCCAGTTGGTTATTCCAATAAAGCACATTTATTATTATTATTGCTGATAATTAGATTGTTAGTTTTATTAAAATTTGCAATTTATTTGTAAATATAGACAAATTTCTTGTGGAATGCTATTATTTATCAATTCTTCACAAGAATCACTCATTTTTAATTATATTTTATTTCAATAACTAAAAAAATATATACTGACAATTAGAGGCAGGGGCGGGGGCGATTGTTCCCCTTGGATTTTCATTTTATTAATTCACTATTATTATTTTTGTATACATATATAATTTAGTTTTTTGATTTTTTCCCCCTTCCAACTTTTCCTGCGGACGCCCATGTGTAGAGAGCATATATGACAAGCAAATAAAATTCATTAGTTGACTTATGGTACCAATAGGTGTCAGGCCCTATTGTCTCTAATAACTTTTACATTGCAATTATCCTAATATAGTTTTTTTATGCAAAGATATGCAAGTAAAATAGTGAAAAGGATATAGTTTTTATAAATAACATCATAACTGGTAATATACTCAAGCTATTTAAGATAAACAAAGTAGAAGATAATTTACTTGCAATATAATCAATGTTACTCAACCAATTAAATTTATTATCTATATAAATGCTACAGTTTAATTCCTTCACATGGGTGATTTGTGATTCTTGTTATAAACAACATTATTTGTAATATTTTCACTATTCAATTTGAGGTTATTTATTACCAGCAAACCAATTTTCAGCTTTTGCTTCCACATGTAATAAATTGTGGATTAATTCATCAATATTTCTATCTGAACATTATAAGGAAGCATCAATAGCAAAACGCACAGTTATCCATATACAAAAATAAACTCTTTCCTAAAATCTGATCACTGTTTGACTCTGTTTAGAGGTTGCCTTCATAAAAAACGGATTGACTATGATTTCTTTAGAAAGAACCTGTTTAAAAAATGATCACATTTAATCCTACCTGCAGAAGAAAGGAAGTTGCTCTTGATCCGTAGTACACCCCTTGGAAACGCTTTCTTCCCCAGTACTTTCCCTCACGCGAGATTTCCAGCACTGTAAAGCATTTTGACATGTTGTGGTCTTCGAACAATCAGGTGGCTCACAGGAATAGCAAGAGTATCTTTTCAAATGGGGATTCTGTATCGAATTGGGGTTAGGTTGACGCGATAGTAAATCGGGAGGAGGTTCGCCAGGTTCGTTTAAATTACTATTCGCTGAATCGTAGTCTTCTTCAGGCTCTTCTCGCAATTCTGGCCTTCTTTGCACTAGCTCGCCTAAAATAGATTAGCGTTTGTTTCGTATAAATAAACGAATTATTTTGAATGTGACGTCGAAAGTTTGGTAATGTATTCATGCATTTACCTGTTACTAAGTTTGTTACTAAAATAATAAACAAACAGTTGATTACTTTCAAGGTAGCCATGATCCATTTATTTTCGTAGATATTTTGACGGGTGACAATTGACGTTTGGCTAAGCTTGACATTTGGCATCAAAGACCTTCTGTATCTAGAGTGGAAATTCGCAACTAATAACTTTTTTATACAAAATGTTAAAGTGTGACGTCACATCGACATTTTGTTGGTAAAATTGGGATTGTTTCTAAAAAGAAACAAATTCATAGTGTTTTCAGATTTTTCCTGTATTTAATAAAAAAAGGATAATAGGAATAATTATTTTTTCAACCTCGAGTTTTCGAAGGATCTATACGTTTTGAAGTCCCTGAATCCGTTTTGACCATTTTCGCGATGATATTTGTCTGTATGTATCTGTATCCATGATAATTCAAAAATGAATAAAGAAGAAACACCAAATTTTAAAATCAAGCTTTAATTGGAAAACAAAATTTTTCAAATAAAAGTTGTTTGCGATATCATTCTCTATAATTTTTGTTTTATACATCAATTGTCTAAAATTTTGAATTTTTACAGGGACGATACAATAGGTTTTACAAAATAACCGGAAAATGCATATTTATTTTATTTATTTATTTATTTATTTATAATACAATACTCTACAGGCCATAAACCCAATTACAGAGCAGGAATTGACAGAATATAATTATTAATAGATCACATTTTTTATATGAATGTTAAGCACATAAAAAGAACTTGTATTTCGTAATAGGTAACAAATTAACTAAGATAAAAAGTGAGATTTTATATCTGACAAATTGCAACTAAATATATCAAGTTCATTGACAATAGAATTTGTTACTGTACACATGGTATGGAGCGGAGAATTTTCCAGAACATTTGTGCGAGATGTATTTATATAAAAAGTATTCGGGTGTCTGGAAGAAATTCTGGGAATGCAAATATTAAACTTTTCTAATAAGGTTGGGCAGTCAATAATACTTTTAATAATTTTATAAGTTACTACTACACTATAATAATCACGCCTTCTATCGAGACTGAAAAATTTATGCTTTTGTAGTAATTCAGAGTGAGGTGTACCTATTAGAGGATAAATGCCATCAGTTTTCAGGCTTAGCAGTTTTAAAAATCGTCTTTGAATTGCTTCTATTCGATCTATATGATACTGATAAAAGGGGCTCCACACAACTGAAGCATATTCTAACTTTGATCTTATAAAAGCATAAAATAGAGTTTTTAAGGTAGAGGTTTCTTTGAAATCACTACTGCTACGTGCAATTAATCCGTACATTCGATAGGAGGAGGATACAACATTATCAATATGCTTATTAAATGATAGTGCAGTGTCAAACGTGACGCCAAGATCAGTAAATGTTTTCGGTCGCTCAAGAGCAACGTTTTCTATTGAATAATTAAATATTAGGATATTCGTTTTTAAACTGTACGACATAACTTTACATTTATCTGGGTTTAGTGACAAGTTATTTTGATAACACCATTCAACAATCCGTGTTAGGTTTGCTGAAAGGTTCTCGCAATCACCTATCTTCTCTACGAGGCAGTATAGTTTTAGATCATCAGCATACAAAAGCAAATTTACATTTATAACATCTGCAATATCATTAATGAACATAATAAAAAGGAGGGGTCCTAGATTCGACCCTTGTGGAACACCAGAAGAAGCACTATATTCAGCAGACCTAAAACCATTAAGCTGGACATATTGCTTTCGATCCCATAGATAGGATTGAAATAGTGAAATTAAAGAAGGAGATAATCCAAAAGCTACAAGTTTGTTAAGCAGAATGCCATGATCAAGTCTGTCGAAGGCCTTAGAAAAGTCTGTGTAAATAACATCAGTTTGGGCTCTGTTATCAATAGATTCAGCAATATATTGGGTAACGGTAAGGAGGTTGGTGACTGTTGAACGACTTTTCATGAAACCATGTTGATTTATACTTATATTACAACTTACATGACGATATATAACTCGCTCTAACAGGATTTCAAAAACCTTTGCAAAGTTGCATATAATAGAGATAGGTCGATAATTTGAAATATCTTGTCTATCTCCTTTCTTGAAAATGGGACAGACCTTTGAGGATTTCCAGACCTCTGGTATTGTAGCCGATTTTAAACAAATATTAATTAGTATATATATAATAACTAAACAGGAAAGTCAGGCGTTGGACACATCACAGATTATTATATTTATTTTTATTCGTTTTTTTATTCAAGAAAACATACACTACTTAGTTTATTTGATACGTGATCTATATAGTTCTTCTACGTCAATTTGCTGTCAAAAATTAGACCAATTAATTAGCTAAATTTTGTTTTATATTAATTATTCATGATTTAATTTGACAAGAAAACAGAAGTAGCTTGTTATATTTTTTATGTATATTCCGATAATTTGTTACCACGTTGTCCGTTTTTGTTAGAAAGGGGTACCTCAAGGGTGGTTCCATATAAATTTTGTGAAGATCTAATAATGGTGGCCAAAAGAATATCATCAAATTCTTCAATTTTTAATGTATGTTCAGATAATTCTTTAAATCGTCCAATTTCTATGATTATTTTTTTGTTAGAAAGAGGGTACCTCTGGAGTGGTCCCATATACATTAGCTGTTGATGGAATCTATGAGAAAACCATCAAACTCAATGTGTCGGGTTTTAAAATTATTTTTATAACTTGTTTGACAAAAAGGATCATGATTTCAGATTGTTGTCCCTTTTAATGAAACCCCTTATAATTATAGACCTATTAATTTGTTATTATATTTAAATGATTCACATACTAAGTTAGTAAGTCCAATAATACCGTCAAAGTAATCATGAAAGTCGTATAAGATAAAATTAATTAATTGGTCCAATTGAATTATGAGAATGTTGCTTCATCAGCTTGATATTTGATTTCTTTGCTACCAAGGAAGTTTTTAATATTATATGTGCCTGATAAATTGTGTTTGGAAAATATTTATCAACAATGGATAGTTTTATAATCAATTTCGAACTACTGTTGTTAATTAATTATTTCGATATATGCCCAAATGTGCCTGAACTATTTTTATTTTTCAAAGAAATAATTAAATTTAGAATATTAGGTTCTTAGAACTAAAATAGAATAATATTTAAAACTGAGGTTTTTTGTACCTAAACTATTTTGCTTTTATGAAATGTTATTGACTTTATTCGGTTATGTATCAAATATTGACATGCTATAGGATGGTAAACAGGAAGAAAATTTTAATAAACACATTAATATTATTATTCCGTTTATTAGGTTTTAAGATCTACATAATATTGTCGAGAGATTGTTGATGTGGCCTCTAGTATACTGATCTTCGGTTTGCATTCTTTAAACTATAACGAAGTGCTAAAAAAGAAAAATAATTTAAAAAATTCAACTAAATAGAACGTATTTTTTTTAAATGAATAATTTTGATTCCTAGTTGAACAAAATGAATTTATTAGAAAGAAGATGTAAACAACAAAGTTAAATACCTCTGGGTCTGCCTCAAGTACGCATTTATACATTTTCAATACTCGATCTGGTGTCGACTTTTCATCTGTAAAAAATATATAAATTTTAAAATTGTTGTGAAATAAAAAAATATTGTATGGATATGACTACATTGTATGATTCATGATTATAATATAATACTATTAATGTTTATTTTTTCAAAAGTAAACAATGTAATGAACCTATTTTTTTGTTGTCATTTCATTACTTTTTAAAATGAATTTAATTGTTTTAATGCAAAATGTTTTATTTAATTTATCAGTCACATCATCCTGTATATTAATTTCGATATAAAGATGTATCTAGGCCCTCTCCGAAATATATTTTCGCTTTGGTCGGGACGTAGGTACGTCGAGCTAGTTTTAAAAAGACTGCCTAATTCAGTTGATATCAGTACCAGTTCCGTGGTAAATCTAATAATCAAGACCAGTCAGCTGATCCGCTGTAAATTTTTCAATATAAGAATAAATTGTATTGAAAGGTCAGTCCGAGTGTATCGAAAAAAACTGGCGCCCGAGGATTCTCCGATAGTAGGGCGTCAAAAGTAAGAATTACTTTCTTTGGGGTAAGAAAGCATCTTACAACAGAAATTACAATACAATTGAAAAATAAACATAAATAATCACTAAAACATAAAGATTGCATGTGTGTGATATGTAAAATATCCATAATAATAGTTTAAAATACATATACATATTAATACCTTAAAATTATTTATTATTTTTTTGTCACACTGGCAATATATAAAAAAATAATAATAGCTGACGGCAATCTAATACTTTAGAGTCAGTGGTGCCCATACTTTTTCCGATAAAGATCTATCAACTAAAAATCTATAACTGGGAGATCGACACCTTGTACCAAAAGTTTGTAATACCTCAAGACCAGTGTCGTGGGATTAAGAACTCCAGGGCCTACCGGTTCAGAAGAGAGAAGGGTTCATCTATCAATTCTTTCTTTACCTTACACCAACAGAAAACTCATGCATCTATTTTTGGCTAGCTATATAGGCAAAATAACTAGAAATTTCTATTTTCTATCCTGTAAAATAATCGTATTAATTTGCCGAGAGATGGTGCACCACTTAATTTTGACAGTTTCTTTCACAATTTATTATTAAATTATTTCTGTTGAATCTTTTATTTAAAGAATAGAAACTTGTTTATTATGATACAGGTTATGTATTTAGTGATATTTATCTGTGATTCATGTATAGTAGTCAAAATAAATTATGAAGATAGGCACATTCCGCAACACACATTACACATAGGTGTTGTGTGTGTTGCCGTCAAGTAGTTAATATATAAATAATTTCTGGCAATCTGTGTCATTGTCTAAAACATTTGTCACATTTGTGGACTTTCTTATTTAAAGTCAAATTTTTTTCCTAAAGCCGAAGTAAAGTAAATTGGTTTATAATATGCAATCTTCTAGGAAAGGTGAAGAATTTAGTTATTACACACCACCGAATATTATTGAAAAAGCAAAAAAAGTTGTTCTTGATTTGTTATCAAAGAAGTCCAAAGAAAAATATGTTTTTGAAGAAGCAAATCATTTCATTTTAGTGTAGGGTAAAGTTTTTTTTATGATCCGATTCATTGGAGAGCAAGAAAAAGGTCATTTTTGCACACTGATGTTTTTCCGAGGTTGTTACGTATTATGGGGTTTTTTCGCATTTGATTTTTTGTTCTTCTCAAGGCACTGGGCCGACGAGAGGATGGGGTAGCCGGGACTAATTCCCGGGGCCCGGACTCAAGTGGGGACCCGGCAGCTTTAGGTGAGGACGTTTTTTATTTTTTAGAAATTCGCCACAAGAGCACAAGAGGGAGGACTTTTTTTTTAGAGATTTCACTAAAGAGGAGAAGTTTTTGCTTGAAGACTTTTTTTTTAGAAATATCATATTGAAAGGGCTTAATTTTTATAAAATTGTCTCGAGACCCGACCTGGAAAATTGTCTCGGGGTCCGACCTGGAAATTGTCCCGGGGCCCGACCTGGCTCAGCGGCCCTGTCAAGGTCCCCTTGCCTGAATGAGCGAATGACCACAAACGGACTATAGGATCTTCGACGATCGACCTAAAGATTTCTTGGGATAGATCTACCACCTTTTTAGAGTCTAGTTGGACACTTGGGTAAAAACGATCTTTGTTTAGAATTCCCAATTCTTGAGGATCTTTGATTTCATACCTGATGTGTGATTCTATATTAAGCTGTAATTTATAATTTTCTTTTGCTTAAAATAAAGAAACTCTGAGATCTGTCTAAATGGATAAAGTATTGATCGTAGTTTTTCTAAGACAAAATTATCACCTCGAATTATAAAAAAAAACTAAAAATTCCTCGTTCTCATAGGAATCTTGGAACTGATTCTACTGAAGTCCTATCTATCCCTAGACCGGATGCTCCCGTGTTCAGTTTTCGTCTGCCACGCGCATGACGTCACTCAGAGTAATTTTCATTTGCACGTTAAAATGAAGATCGCTCATGATGCGCAATATCCTATAGGCCGGATGCTATGACGTCACTCACAGAGTGATTTACATTTGCACGTCAAAATAAGGACTGCTTACGATGCGCAACATTCTATATTTAGGTGGCTATATCGTGTATCTATTCTATTTTAGACGTCAATTCACAAAGCCATACTTACTTGGGAATTTATCGAAACAAGCCATGAACAATTTTGGAATGATATCCTTATAGTCTCCAGGAAATATTTCTACGAGAGCTTCTCTATCGAGTTCTCCATCCTTCATCTAAAAAAATTAATTAGTATTCTATTCAGGATCTAAAAAATTCAATTTATACTCTATATACAAAGTTATTTAATAAAACATGAGTTTGCAGCACCCCTTTATAATTTTCGGACAAGGATATCTCAAAAAGTAATTTTTTTAGAAAACTTAAATTTGGGCAAAATAAATAAGGCAATAATATATAGAATATGCATATTTTTTAAAGTTTTAATTCCTTTCAGTTTCCTAGAAAAAAAATCAAAGGGCTTTAAATTTTGAAATATCATAATGAAAATAAATGCATTTCTCAACAGCACTATTCTTAATACAATACCCAAATTTAAGCTCTTAATCTCTTGTTAATTATTTTTTTTAAATTTTCCGAAATTAGTGGCTAAAACTAAAAATACCAATCGACGTGTCCGAGCGTTTTTCCTATTGTATCCCCCATTTATTTATTACCGAATTTATTCCAATTGACTGTTTCACACTGTATGATACGGCTATGAATAAATAAAGTCTGACTTGTATGTCAAAAGAAAAGGTTTATTACAGGAAAAACCAAGAAAATATGATTAAATCTAAACGAAAACTTTTATTAGGCCGATCAGATGTATTAAAATTTTCATTTTAACTACAAATAAGCATTAAAGGATGAGGTATAAATAAAATGTCAACCTCCTGAACCTGTACTACGTTCTGAAAATTAAAATACTGCACTCCTTTCTTTTCTAGACTATAATTTATTATACCACCTGAAAGGTAAAAGCCTGAGATTTTTAGAAATAAGTTTCACTTCCATATTAACATAATTGTCAACGTTCTAACCTTTTCCTAACTTTAATACTGGGTCTTTTAGGTATTTAAAGTGGTCAAATAGTGTTGTTTTTTAAAAAAAGTATACTTACTAAAGCAGATTCTTCCCAGATGCAAAGCAAATATAACTGAAATTAAAATAAAATAGTTATATTAAATAGGTAATAGACATTAATACAATTAATACAAAACTGCACTTTCTCAATTTTTCTCGATTCTTGACTAAGAAATGAGGTGATATGTATCACATCAGGTCGGTGGTGTAGCAGTCTAAAGCGTTCATATTCATTTATAGGCAATTTATGGTCCGAGACTACCGGGCTTCGAATCCCAGCCCAGACCATGTGGATTTTTAATTAAATTGCATGATTCGGTATAGGATTTGATGAGTGCCGTATTAATAGAAATTCAATTTCTGTTGATATGACATGCAGATTATAAAATCGCCATGCATTACCGTCTCGATGATGGTGGGTGAGGTTTTCCGGGTTTTCCTCACCTGTAAGTCAAATGGCACGATCAATCATCTTTAAGTCGCCCCGGAGCGCCACGGCAAATAATAATAATAGCCGTCCCTTTCCCCGCAAAAGCTCAGCTTTTGGGATTAAAATTCACTCGTAAGGGGGTGAATTAGGGAGAGTATTATTATAACATAAAGTAATTTGGTTCATTAGTGATGACTCAATAAATGATGTAAATAAAATTGTTTAAACATTAAATAACTATCTATTTTTTATACTTTTATTATTTCATTTAAGTGATTTTTCCCAAAGATGTATGCGATGCAATTTAAAACATTGAAAAACTATGGGTATCTAGATGTGAGTTGTCATTTAAAATGATATGAATTATAAAAACTAATTAAAAATATGTAGTGGTAGTATTTAAGAATCTGCAAACTTATAATGCACCAACCTACACTAGAAATATCTAAGGTGAATTAGAAACAGCATACAAGTAAAGTATAGTGCTCAACACACAAGGACTGCTCATTTAGAACCAGTCAATTACTCGTTAAACGATATATGAAGTGACCCACAAAAAATGTTTCAAAAGCAAGCATGTCGAAGCGTACAATTTTTCTTCTTTTTTAAGTGACAGTTTGGATTTAATATAGAGGCGTTCAAATTTATCACTGACTTGACTTGTATCTCTGCCTTTGGGGTCTATTCTGTAACAATTCCTTTATATTTAACGGCCTTTAAAAATATTGGCGGCCTTTAAAAATATTTTCGTATTCGTTAATTTACTTCTGTCAATACTCAAACAGATTTCATTAAGATAGTCCTCTAATGTATTTTAAAGATCCGTTTAAATAATGACAGAAGTAAAGAAGAACATATAAAGGAATTGTTACAGAATAGACCGTTTTGCCAGTTACTTTGGAAACATTTCTGGCAAATATGTCGTTACTATTACCTTTAGCTTGTCATCATTTTCAAATATACCCTTGTTTCCCTGTTGTAAAACAATTTCTTCTGTATTTGTTTTTGCTTTGCACGAATTATGTAGTTCCTTGACCAAGCCTCGCACTTCTGGTGAGAATTTCTAAAAAAAAAACGAAATAAATATTATTAAATATTAATTAAGTGTAAATTTTGTAGAAGACATTTACTAGATCAGAATCAGAAAAAAAACTAAAAATATCTAAAAATTCTAATAAAATTAAAAAAAAAAATTAAAATTCTAATAAAAAGTAAAAATTTAAAAAATGGGCAGGTATTTTATTTAAAATAAGACAGTGATAAGCAATATCCATTATTAGTACAATTGAATTGGGGGAAATTCTAATACTTAAAAACTAAAAATAAAAAAAAACTAAAAATTCTAATAAAACTAAAAATTAAAAAAAAATACTATGAAAATTCTAAAAAAATAGGTATGTATTTTATTTGAAATACGAGAGTGATAAGCATTATCCATTAGTACTATTGAATTGGGGGAATATTGTAAAATTAAGTAAAGTGAAAGAAATACTTACTGTAACATCAACCATTGGCTTACAGAAAACCGAATTAAGAATAACGACGAAAAAGAAGAAGAGTAAATTTAACAACATTTTGATGTACCTAATTTAGTTGTATTTACCTAATTCAATTTGTTAACTTAATTCGATTTGATTGATTGATGTAATTTTCATTATTTTATATATTTTCACTTCCGTTTATTATTTTTTTAAACGTAATAGTAATCCGAATAATTTTTAATTGTTAATTAATTATTCTAATCCCTATTAATTATAATGAGGAATAAAGAACAGGCCAGGTTTAAGAAAAGCGGTACTTATTGGCTATTTCAAAAAATAAATATATCATATAAAACTATTTTATAATATAAATAATATTACATAAGAAAATTTATTAATATAAAAATGTCCTTCAGATATTAACCAAGTTAGGCTAAGCAAGGTTTTATAGCTTCTAATCCTGTAGAACAGTTAAACAATTTTTTCTACATCTACATAGATATTTGGGGTCTATTCTGTAACTATAGTTGTTATCTGGCAACTTTCTAACCACTTGTTATCTTACCACTTTCATAGCAACTGTATATGACAACTTTGACAAAAGTAGCTATTCTAGTATTCACGATTGCTATATTACAGTTATGCTACCGACCAAGTTGCTATGATCAAGGTCAGTTGTTGTATTACCACTTTGAGAAAATCAGAAGTAAAATCTGTAACAACTAGTGGTTACAAAAGTTGATTCAGAGTTATTTGGAAGCAACCAAATATTCTTGATGGCTAAGCGTAACAACTAGTTGTTTTAATCTGACAGGTTAAAACGACTAAACCGACAATTTCGGAAGCAGAAGCGGATGATTAAAACGCACCTGATATTTTGCTTGCTGCTGTCAGTGTCAGTGAATATTATTTTTGAAGTCACAGTTTATTGCTAAAGAATCAGTTAGCTCACTCGGACCAGTTGAAAGTTCCAAAATAACATCCACTCCAGGGATACAAATTCAGGATACGCAGAAGACTGCTGTTTTATTATAGGCGGTTGTCATATATTGTATTATCCGAGTTGCACAGTGTATAAACTGAAACATTGAGATCCAAAGTGCCGACGCAGAGTGAGCGATCTGATTCTTTAGCTGTAAACTGTGTCACAGGGTTCAAAATGGCCGCGCCCTATGTTGGGCGTGTCGGACCTCTCTCTTGCCTCGTATAGTAATCAAAGTATGTGTCTAGACGTCACTTTGCTATATAAGGATGATCCTGACGTTAGTTTTGAGTTTGATGATAGACGTTACATGTTAATGTTATCAGTTGTATAATTGTTGTTAAAGTTGAGTTGAAATAAATTGCGATACCAAAAACCTGTGTAACATTGGTGACAGCGGTGGGATCAAAAGTAAAAGTTCATGGTAAATATTAGAGTACGAAGCAGACATGGATACTTCAGGCCCACCAGCATGGTTTTTGAAGATGGAAGAGGAAAAGGAAGGGCGTAGAAAGGAAGAAGAAGAGGAGGAGAGAGTAAGACGGGAGGAGGAAAAGGAAAGGCGTAGGAAGGAAGAAGAGGAGGAAAGGAAAGACGAAGGAAGGAAGAAGAGGAGGAAAAGGCGTAGGAAGGAAGAAGAGGCGGAAAAGGAAAGACGAAAGAAGGAAGAAGAGGAGGAAAAGGAAAAGCGTAAAAAGGAAGAAGAGGAGGAAAAGGAAAGGCGTAGGAAGAAAGAGGAAAGGCGTAGGAAAGCAGAGGTAGAAAGTATAAATGGTTTGCTACAAATCCAGGAAACCTTCAAGCCAGAGGTTAGTCAGCTTAAAATTAGAGTAGATCTGTTAGAGCAACAACAAGAGCATCTAAAAGCTAACTTAGAACAACAAGAACAGGCTAGAGTAGAGCTAGAAAAGCAAATTAGTGCTGAAACGGCTGAGTTAGAAAAAAGAATTCACAGCCAAGCTTCAGTAAACAGCATTGAAGCTTCAAACACTACTACCTCGTCTTCATCCATAACCGAACCAAGCCACATTCACAAAACTATACTAGCAAGACCCTCAAGCCACCCACGTTTGACGGTCAGACAACATGGGAATCATATCGACTCCAATTTGAAGCTGCAGCTAGAGCCAATGGCTGGACCGAGAAAGAGATGGCGGCTTCATTGATAGTGTCACTGCGAGGTCAGGCAGTAACCGTTTTACAATTACTTCCCCAAGAAGAACCCAGTTATTCATCTCTCGTCCAAGCTTTGGTGACAAGATATGACCAGCAGCATTTGCAACAGGTATTCCAAAGCCAACTAAAGGTTCGTAGTCAGAAACATAATGAGAGTCTACAGGAATTCGAGGCTGGTATAAGAAGGTGCCGAAAGATTTTCAAGAACAACTCGGAATACAAGCATTCATTGATGGACTACAAGATGTGGAAATGCAGCAAGTCCACAAGATGCTGAGGGAGAAACTGATTGCATCCCAGAAATATGAAACAGTAAAACTCCTATCCAGATCTTCTCGCGCAAAAGTGAGGGAAATTAAATCCCAGGAAAGTGACGAGGCCAATACTAATACTATTCCCCAAATCTTAAATATCCTACGAAATATACAACGAAACAGCCAAAATGGAAGCAGGAGATGCTTCAATTGCGGAAAAGTCGGACACCTTCAAAGAACCTGTAGAAGCATGGCCCATTCTATAAATAGAGATTCAGCGAATGAGACCGGAAAATCATATAAATCAATCTTTCCAAGCCCATCACCAAGACCAACAGAAATTAATTATAGCAGCTATGCGTCCCGAAGAAGCCAAACACCCACACCGAGCCGGCTTTCTAATAATAACCAGAAAGTAGAGCATCGAGGAGGTCTCCATAGCAATGCAGACATTCTCTTCGTGCAACCCCGTTTAGAGGAACAATGCTGGTATGGTAAAAGGCTCGAAGAACGAGAAGAACCGGTTGATAAGGTTACTCTTCGGGCCACCACTATTAAGCCGAAGGGCGACGAAGAAGAAATCACCCTTGAAAGTCTGAGACAGGGACAGAAGAAAGACAAGGACTTAAAGGTTGTCCGAGAATGGCTCAAAAATAAAGTCACACCTACTGGACCCAATGGGATTCCCTGTATCTTCATGATGACCTATTGCACCGGAAGTGGGAGAGCCCCGATGGAGTACATGTAGTCCACCAAGTGATACTGCCGAGGCCACAGGTGAGAAAAGTTACACGTTTCTGGTGTCTCTGAGTTGGGTCTTAAAACTAGAGCCGCTACACCCCGAAAAGCAGTGAGATGCCGACTGGCTCATATGCCGTGCTATGTTGCCACTGTTAAATACCTAAATATTTCTTGTACTATTTCAGTAGACTTCTTATTAGAAAACAAGCATTTTTATTACAAACAATAACAAGAACTTGCATGCAATTCAATGCCTATTGTGGTATCAAAGGAGTAGTTGTTTTTCAGATGAAAATGGTCATTCCTATTGTTTTGTGACATTTATGTTTTCGGGAATTTATTTTTCTTTATTTTACGTCTTTGTCACTTATTTGAGTTGGAATTATTTTTCTTTAAAAAAATATTCTGTTAACTTAATTAATAACGAAAATAAGGAGGGTGGGATGGGTGGAACACTTAATTAGCCCACCTTGTATATTATTTAATTTTAATAATATTTAAAGATATATGTATAACATGTTATATAACGAAATATGCATTTTTCAGATCCGATTCTGTATAGGTGGAGATAAAGTATAGTATTCAACTCGTTCAATGACTATAATAAACTACTCAAGTGATTACATCAGTCGTTATTTTTATTAAAAATTTTCTATTTTTACTTTCAATATTTGGCATAGCAAATAAATGAAAAGTTTAATTATTTTTCCACAATCCTGCTCTGGAATATTAAATAAATCAATAATTATTTTATTATTAAAACAAAAATTATACGAGTAAGTACAATTATCATGAAAAAGTTAACAATTTTCGCAAAAAAACAATTTAAATCAACCTTGTGACACGAATCTTTAAAATTGGAAATTATTTAGGTATACTTATTTTGTTAATAATATGAAAAGACATTTTTAATAATAGAAAAATATTATAATTAAAATGGAAATTATTCTAAGAAAAATCAAAAATACTATTTCAATTGTGATATTTTGAAATAAAAGATATTATGGCAAGGGTACCACAAGATCCAGTATTAGATGCTATATACTAGTGATATTCCTAAGCTTCAGCAAGACATAATTACATTATTTGGTGATAACCCTGCAATGCTGGGGCTTCTGGAGCAGATTATAGAAGAAATAATTAACAATGGGAAAGGACTGCAAGTTGACCATAATATAAAAAAACTGCTACTTTACAGGCAAATTAATTTTATTCAAATTTGCTTTGGACAATTTTCCTAAAATAAATCATAAATATGCGATTTTTAGAAGACAAATATTGATCGAAAATGAGAAAATCAAGTCTTATCTTTTTAGGTCAAAAAGGTTATTTAACTCATCAACAACTAAGGTATTTCTTATCACTATCCTTAGATTTCTATTACAATTTGTAAAATAATGATTAACGGACCAACCTCTCAGGTATCCTGCCAAAACCAAGACTTAACAAGAAATTAAAAACTATAGAATTTCCTCTAACAGCACTTGGCTGGAAACTTAAGAACTGCCCCAAGTGGAACATAACTTTTATTTCGAGTGGCAAAACATAACCACTTCCTTTACATACAACTCATGACCAAAAATATACAGCTAGGTAATGAAAGAAACTACCAATTACTAATTAAGATCTACCCCAAGTAATCTCTTAGGAACAGACCTTTATTTCACGTTATAAAAACATTGACAAAATTAAAAGGTATGTACCACAATTAATATTTAAACATCATAATAGACAAAAAGAGATACCGTCAAAAGATAAAGTGTACCAAATATATCACTTCCTCACCCATAGAAAATTTTGACAGCAATTTTCTGCAGAGCTAGCTGCTAGATAACTGCTGCTTTAAAGTCATTCATAATCTACATTCACTGATCAATTCTTATATCATCCCTCTATCCTAGGATTCCTTTTCTTTTTAACATGAAAAGAGTCTAATCATTTAGGAGCTAATTTGCTGGTAGATAATATACGCAGAAGGACCTGAAAGAGCAAAATTGCGCCTCCAAACCGACTTACAAGATCTTTTTACGGCGTCTCAGAAGGTTATAAGTTTGTTTTACCTTTAGTAAAAGTTTTATCCTATCTTTGGGCTCAACAAGTTCTCGTAAATTTACCTTTCTTCTAAAATCCTTACCATTCAAAGTCATGTTTCTCTCGAAATTAACAAAATACGCATTTTTGTGAGATGACTCATGAAAAGCTGTTCGCCTAGCACAAGTGGCCTAAGAGATTCATTTTCTGATGCGCACATTGCTCTAGTGACTGCACCAACTCAACAGACTCAGCAGTGTCAAGAAGCTGGATTGCCTAAACACTGGATGATGGAGTCGTAGCTCATGTCTCATGGCAAATTTGGTTCTAGTTTGTTCAACCATGTCCATATCCAGATCCCTTTGGATGTACCAAGATGCATCCTTGATTCTCATCAGTTCCTTGTTCTGTAATCTCTGAATGATTTGTTGACTACTTTGACTAACACAGCTCCACAGCTGAATACCACAAAATCAAGTAAGTTTGAATATATTTGTCTGTACAACATAAGTTTATTATGCAGAGACAGGGTGGAGTCCAGTCAACCAATACATTTTTCTATATTTAATTTAAAGTTGTTCCATTTTCTTTTCAATATGAGATTTCCAGCGATACTTAGCATCGAGGATCATACTTGTATTTATGTATTTTGCTGTATTTGAGAAATGAATCTGATTACCAATTATGTTTATAGTAGTATGTGCTGCTTATCACTATTGGTGTATATACGTGCATGTGTTTAGATTCGTTTATTTTGATCCGTGTGTAATTTGTGTCAGTATCGTCTACAAAGGTGGCTAAAGTATCATTTTCTAATTTAGGAATGTCATTTGTGTACAAGACGTACAGGAGAGATCCCAACACAATGCCCTGTAGCACTTTTCTGTCCAATTTGTCAATAATTTCAGTGAAATCGATCTTTTCAGAGATTTCGGATTAAATAGAGATGATTGCCAAATCTGAAAGCTTTTATTTTGTCGTATGTCGTAATTTTTAATAATTTGTTATTAACTTAAACTCCTTTCACCTGAAGCCACAGAAACAGGTAAGGTGAAAAAAAGTCTTATTTAATATACTTTTTGACTATAATTTCTAATATTTTAATTGGCTGTTTTTACCTGGAAAAATATCTTTGAATGAAGTTATTTTATTATACCCTCTATACCTTTCACAATATTTCCTTCCTCCTGTACCTGTAATTTAATATTCAAGTCAATGCAGGTTTTCATTAAATCATCACTAGAAATTTACACTTATACAATCTAGCATTCTTACACTCTAGCACTCTTATATAATTACATTATTATATTCTAACACGCTACGACTCTTAGGGTACAAATATAATGAAGCGGCGAGGGTAGATACACGAGGCGATGTAAGCTGGCGATTCTTATATCGTACTATATTTTTAATTAAAGGGTACATACTGAAACTCTAAGCGACAATTTGCCGCTTCCAATTTAAATCGTCCCGTGCCTCTGTCCGCTTTACTTTATTTGTACCCTTACACGCTTGTACTCTTGCACACTACAACTCTTACACACTACAACTCTTACACACTACAACTATTACACTCTTAATTTCTTACTCTATTACACACTTACACTCTTACGTGCTCACACTCTTACAGGCTCACACTTTTTAATACTTATAGTCTTACACTCTTACACTTACACTCTTGCACGCTTACACTCTTATATTCCTAAACTCTTACCCTTGTACTCTTACACTCTTACTCTATAACATTCTTACACTTTTACAATCTTACACTCTTACACTCTTACACTCTTACACTCTTACACTCTTACACTCTTACACTCTTACACCCTTACACCCTTACACCCTTACACCCTTACACCCTTACACTCTTACAATCTTACAATCTTACACTCTTACACTCTTACACTCTTACACTCTTACACTCTTACACTCTTACACTCTTACACTCTTACAACTCTTACACTCTTGCTCTCTTGCACTCTTACACTGTTAGTTACTTACACAAATACAGTGGTGTTGGGCATAGAAAAAAAAATAATTATCTTCTGATGGTTTACAGCTTTTATTTTATTTTGAATTTAAACATTTTATACCTAAGAAAAATCGGCTTCATATTTTTTCAATTTCGAATCATATCATGATATAAGCCTGAAAAATAACATAGTTAATAAAAATGATCAAAATTAATATTTTATTAATAAATTTTATTACCTCCGGGTTCGTTTTGTAAACGCAATCCTCCATTCCAAATATTAGATCTTCTAAAGGTGATTTTGCTATAAAAAAGAAATAATGAAACAGTACATAATTTAATGTTTCCATTTCTAATAAATTTTTAGATACAATACTTATGCTAGCGACAACTGGATACCTACTACAAAAAAACATGAGACAAAAATAGATGCGATAGAAATGAAAAATTTAAGAAGAATAGTGGGGAAAACTAATTGTAACAGAGTAAGAAATGACGACCTAAGAAAACTAACTAAACAGGAGTCGATACTGACAATGATCAAAGAAATTAAAATATTTCATTCTTAATTTTAAGGGGAATCGCCTCATAAATGCACACTATCCCAAACAGCACAGTACGTCTTAAGTACGTACAGTTTTGGTACTGTACGTACAGGACGTAAAATGTACGTTTTAAGTACGTACACAACAGTACGTACAGAAAAGTACGTACTAAGTACGTACCTAAGGGTACGTAATCCTGGTTGCATACCTATTTTATTGAAAAACCTATGTTTTTACCAAATTTCTGTTGACCGTAGGCCAAAAAATGCAAAAAAAAGACGAAACCCAATTTATTTAACCTAACCTAAACTCTAAACTAAACTCGCTCCAGTAAGTGTTCTGTGCTCGCTCCCTCGCTCGTTTTTGTTAGTTTTTCATGTTTAGGATTTAACTATTAAGTGTTTCATTAAATAAATAGTTGTGTATAATTTATTATAATTGAACAAGACATTATTTAGACTTTGTAGTGCGTGTTATAAGTACGTAGTTTCGTCATTTTATTCTGGTGAGTAGTTTCATTTTAATTTTAAAAAATTATGTGTAATAAATATAATTTATAGATATGTCATCCCATCCCATAGTAAACATTACAAAAATGCTACAAAACAATTAAAAAAGTTTAAGAATTTTTGTATCTAATGAAATTGTGTACTTCCAACCATTGGACTTCAAAACTGATGGAGATCTAGCTTAACAAAAAGAAATATAGGAGTTCCGATATTATAGAACAGTGGCAGGAACGAATTGGATTTCAAAGGCATAAGGCCAAAACAGGTGGATACAAATAAGAGATGAGGTTTGGATCCAGGAGTATATTGACAATGATAATTTTGAGCTGTAGAAACTATCGCTTACTTTACTCTACATCTTTTTGTTTTTATTATATTGTTTATTATAAAAAGTACCAAAGTTAAGTTTCTAATTTGATATTATTTCTTTGCAGAAGGTGCTATAAAAAGTAACAAATACAAAGAGAAGAAGTTTGTAGAACAGGAAATTGTGAGATGGCTAAGAGGAGCTGATGATAGCCTAAAAACTTTCAAAAAGATAGCAAAACATTTTAAATTATTCTTTTAATGTAAAAAATTAAATAAATACAAATTAACTTATTTACTTTTCTTTTTATTGCACTAATACGTACATTATACATCATAAGTAAGTACCAATAAGGATGTAAAGTATGTCTAAAATATATACTCTATTGGAATAAGTACAAACATAGTACGTACATTAAGTACGTACACAGTACGTACATTAGGTACGTACAGAGTACGTACATTATGTACGTACAGAGTACGTACATTAGGTACGTACAGAGTACGTACTTTAAGTACGTACTAGGTACGTACCGTCGTTTGGAAAATGTACGTATTATGTACGTACTATGTACGTACTTCGTACAGTAAAGTACGTACATGGTACGTACTTTACGTCCCATCAGTACGTACATAGTACGTCTTATGTACGTAAGTGTGTTTGCTGGGTATAGGGGGTCCCGTAACTTGATCGTATTCCTTGAACAATTTTAAATCGAAAGTGCCTTATCCTCTTTTGTCCAAAACTTAATATTTAAGGAGTTATAAGCAATATTAAATAACAGACACAAAGAAATGGGTCTAAGAAGATTACGAATACCACTTTAACTTCCGAAAATGCAGAACGATATGAAGAGGAAAGAAATACATTATGGACCCAATGTTACATGTCTCCAAAAACAACATCTGGCGATATGTATATGAATTTGAATGTTTAAAGAGATTAAACCCTTGCCCCAGCAGCAAGTGAGTAGATGAAATGTAAGTTTCCAAGATCACTTTAGTAACATGGCCATCAAAGTCTCTTGTTCATAGAGGTCTTCGGTTAAGAGGCAATGAAGAAGCCTCTGGAGACTCAAAGATGAAACAGAGGAGCTGGAAGAGCGACGAAGGATCGAGAGTGACGTTGAATAAATCTCTGGAAGCTTGAGGATAAAAAAGTGGAGACGTAGGACCAGAGAAGATGTTGAAGAAGCCTTTGGAGATTAGAGACGAAGCATAGAAGCTGAAGGAGTGACGTAGGGCTATCGACGACGAAGAATGTGCAGCAGCATTGCCAAAAAGGTATTAACGAATATATCCGCTCTTATTTGTCCGAATCGAATGGGACAAACGACGGGATTTAACTTGAGCTGTCATTTATAATGAAAAAACATGCACCGTAGCATCTCCAAAAGGACTTATGCTTATATCTTTGTTACTACTGGGTTGATATAAATGGGACAAACGACATTCAATGTAAAACGTCATATGCATGTAAAATCTAACGAAAAAACATACGGTGTAACATTGCCAAAAAGTAATTTTTAAATAGCAATGTCAATTCATTAAATCTGCCTTTGATTATCTATTTCTTATTTCAGAAAACCTGTATAAAAATATTTATTATATTATTGTGTCACACCAAATTTTTAATAATTAATTTTGACATATCTTCATATTTTTTTTAAATTTTTAGATTATACGATAAAATGTGGAGTTATCCGCAAAAAATGTTTCTAATGTAGACCTTGGAAAAATTCACGCTTGTCGTAGCATACAATTCTTCTTCTTTTTAAGAATCAGTTTTGATTTAATTAGGACCATGCGTAATTATCACGGACATGACTCGTATATCTGTCTTTCTCGACCATAGCATACTTTAGAAACATTTTTTGTGGATCACTTTTTACCATACCTGGTTGTTTTTTATGACAATCTATGTGTATTTTTGGCACCTTATCTTTTAGTGACGCAGGACATAGGTCGTGCAGGAGATCGATATTAAGATTTCCTAATTCGTCCATCTACAAAAAAAATTACGTTTGTTTAATCAAATTAAATCATAAATAGTAATGAGGTTTTGTTTTTCCTTAAAAAGTATATTTTTCAAAATAAAACAGAGAAATCAAAAGATGTAAGTGAAAGTAACAAAAATGGAAAGAAGGATATAAGTAAAAGCGTTGTATAAGAATCGACAAGAATGCATGTAAAATTAAATATGACGTTTAGAACCCTTTGTTAATCTTAAGAGCAAAAAACAATAGCAAATTACAGTTTTGCAAACAATATTTTTATGCAGTTCACAGAATTGACAATAATTGTTGGCTTCTTGTCCTCAATAATAAAAGGTTATAGTAAGGACAAATGCGAAAAGAAAAAGAAGAAGAAGAAGAATAAAATTGTTTTAGTTCATCCTTTTTTGAATGGATTCTGAATCAGTTTTATTATTTTTATCACTGCGCAACTTGTTCTGTGTAGTTCTAATAAAATTCTTGAACAAATCTAACTTCGGAACCAAAACAAAGCTTATAAAAAATAAAAACTATTTGAGCGAAAAAACCATGGAACTTTTTATTTATATAAAATTCTACTACGGTCAGGAAATTATCTTTATTGAAATGATACATGTTTCAAAGGCATGTAACATGTAACAATATTATACTTTACCAAAAGGTACCTGTGCCAATCACTATCCTGAGTAAAGGGATCAAAATAATTTATTTTATATGCTACAAATAATCAATAATAATGAAATACTCTTGTTAGATAATTCTTTTAAACCATAATCATAATAAAAATTAACACCAAATAAATGTAAAAAACACGTTTATATACATATCTATATGAATTTTTTCAGTTCATTCCAAAAAACATTTAAAAACTTAATAGAAGTGAATAACATAACCTCAAAATTTTTTATCGCGCTTGATCGCTTTGAATAGGTAAATAAATTAATAAAAATCAATTGCATCGTGTGTTCTATATAAAAATAAACAAATTTTACTATATTTTTAGTTTTTATTACCTACAAGTGATGTTAGAACAGGTTATTCCAAATATTAATTTCCAGAGTGAATTTATTAATATGGTTAATACTAATGGCGAATTGACACTAAAATACAGTGTTACCAGAATTACATTCACACTTTCTATGAAAAAAATCCTGTAAAGCAAGAAATTGATCTGGAAGAACTAGAAAATTAACTAAAGGAGGACTGTAGTGTATGTATAAGTTCGCTAGATACGCCACTGGCAGATTTCTTGTAATGCCGATAGGTGGTGGTGGAAGTATCTAGCGAGCGAAAATTAGCATTGTATTTCGAGGTTTAAGAATGAATAAATGTGTTTTGGTTAAGTGGTATACCGGCTTATTATTGTAACCCTTAAGTAATGGGGTTAACATCCCCAATACATCACAAGGACAAAAACTACAAAATAGTGGTGAGTAATTAACAAAAATATATTTAAATTTTCGTTTTTATTGGTAGAATGCCCTGTACAATTTTTAATGTTTTACGTTCGACACAAATATTTAAAATATTCCATTAGTTATGTACATTTAATTTGTATATGTACAAAGTTTGTTGATTTTTTTTTAGGTTCAATGAAGATCCAAGGTAAGCAAGCAAATGTAACGCAAGCCATCGATACAATAAACTATTGGTTGGTTAAGACTAACTAAAGAATTTGTAAAAAGAATAAGTATTAATTTTTGGAAATAAAGATTTTAAAAAATGTTTACGATTTTCATTATATAGGGGAGAGTTGGACAAAACAGGATAGTCGGATAAAACGGGATATCGGCCAATATTTATGAATACGCAGCACTATCTAACGAGTCGTGGCGTTAATCACTATAAATAACGTTTGCTTGAATGTAGGAAGTGTCTATTCTCATTAACTGCTGTTCAGTAGTGAGTGACAACGGCAGTTTGAAAAAGTGAGGTTATACTATTTAGTTTTATTAGCGGTTAATTTAGTGTTTCTTATTTTAAACAAGCAAAATAAATAACGGTGAGTATTTTTTGTGATTTTGTAGATAATTGACTGTATTTTGCGACATTTGTGATTATGACTATTATTTTTTTTGTGAAAAACTTTGAAAAGCATTTTGGAATGTGCAGTTGGGCAAAATAGGATACCAAGCAGTCGGGTAAAACTGGATACTATCCCGTTTTGTCCAACCAAGAAACTATACAGATTTTCACGAGAAATTTAAACTTTACTTTTGTTACAGGCTTGTTAAAAGATGGGAAAATATAAAAGAAAAACTGAACGGCAGTCTTGGAATGAGGAAAGTATGCGCCAGGCGGTGGAAGAGGTTCTCGAAGGAAGAATGGGGTATCTTAAGGCTTCGAAACAATTTGGGGTACCTCGGACAACTATTGAAGCCAGAGTAAAAAAAATTAAAAATGGGACTCTCGAACGAGAAAACTCAGCAAAAAAGGGACTAGGGCGTCACAGACCGGTTTTCTCTATGGAGTAAGAAGAAGAGTTGGTGCGACACATTTTGTCTATGGAATTACGACTGTTTGGTTTTAGTTTGAATGACTTTCGAAGTTTGGCCTTTCAGTTAGCTCAACGCAATGGCTTAGCTAATCAATTTAACAGAGATAAAAAAATAGCCGGTAAAGCTTGGTTATACAGTTTTCTAAAGAGACATCCAAAAGTTAAACTTCGCACCCCTGAGCCAACATCACTTGCTAGAGCCATGGGTTTTAATAGACCTGCCGTACAAAAATATTTTTCGTTGCTGTCTGACGTGCTTGAAAAATATAAAATACCACCCGAACGGATTTACAACGTCGACGAGACGGGTATAATGACAGTGCCAAAGAAAAGATCGAAATGCTTATCGTTGCGTGGGAAAAGGCAAGTTGGGTGTATATCTTCAGCTGAACGCGGCGTTCTTGTCACCGTGGAAATTTGCATGAGTGCTACTGGTGTATTTATGCCGCCTACGTTAATTTTTCCTAGATCCAGAGCTAAGCCGAAGCTGCTAGATGATGCTCCTCCTGGAAGTAAAGCTTTTTATCATTCTTCAGGATGGATGCAAAAAGAGATTTTTTCTAACTGGTTCAATCAATTTATTGAGTTTTCCAAGCCCTCCAAAGAACATCCTGTCCTCTTACTTTTGGACGGACATACGACCCACACAAAAAATTTAGACGTTATAGAGAAAGCTAGAGTTAGCGGTGTTGTAATGCTCTGCTTTCCACCGCATACCACGCATCGTTTACAACCGCTAGACGTCAGTTTCATGTCACCACTTAGCTCATATTATACGTCAGAAGTTCAAAAATGGATGCAGCAACATCCAGGTCGACCTGTTACGATATCCCAAATAGGCAAACTTTTCGGTAATGCACATATGAAAGCTGCTAGCATCCAAACAGCTGTGAATGGTTTTAGAAAGACAGGCATTCAACCTTTCAATCTAGAAATATTTGAAGACTGGATGTTTGAGCCAGCTCAAACAACAGACACACCGACGAACAATAATGCAACTGGTCCAATTGAAGAAAATAATAGCCGCCCTTCACCACATACACCATCACCGATAACACAAAAGCTTGTTTTACGGCGATTATCACAAAACCAAGTTGCAGCTGAAGAGAAAGCAAGGCATGATGCAGAAAAGGTTGACAAATCCGCAACAACACCGGCATTGCCTCCAGATCCTGTTACACCACAAAAAATGCCCCAGATGCTTGAAAGTAAAGAAAATTTGTATAATACTCCTCCTCCTGTTTCTTGCAGAGATTTCGATGCAAATGCGACCCCCTCTTCTTCATACACCATCACGAAATTTGAAGTAACACCTCAACAAATAGTTCCAGTTCCTCACGCAGAAAGAAAAATTAATCCTAACGATAAAAGGAGAGGAAAATCGGCTGTGCTAACTTCAACCCCTTACAAAGAAGAACTGGAAACATCTGTAGTGAACAAGCCTATCAAGAAACCCAAACTGAACTTGGAGGAAAATCAAAAAGTAAAGAATAACAAAGGAAAAAATAAAAAAAATGTGTCACTAAGCCAAAGAAAGGAAAGGAAAAAAGAAAGAAAGAAGACAGCAGTTCAGAAGAAGAGGAGGAGGACGACGAAGTTTGCATTTATTGCACAAAATTATATTCTAATTCTAAGACAAACGACGGTTGGGTAATGTGCCAGGACTGTAAACTTTGGGCTCATGAAGCTTGCACCGGTATTGAGGACGATGGTGAGCCGTACTCGTGCGATTTTTGTCGGTGCCAAATCATTAATTGGTTTCGAATTATAAATATAAAACTCATAATGTTTCTCTTTTCAAGTTTTATTAAATAAATTTTATTTTAATATACTTTTCTATTCGTATTTAATCACCATCCCATTTTACCCGACCAGGTGGGCAAAACGGGATACTTTATCTTTTTTTTTAAATATGACTTTTTCTATGTTATCTTCAAGCTATTCAGGAATAACTGTCCCTAAACATAGGAAGGGATCAATGCGGAAGTTACATTTAAGAAACAGCAGATATCAATAGCCTAGTTAGAGAGTTACGGGTCAAATAACGTTAGCTATCCCGTTTTGTCCAACTCTCCCCTACACTTTTCAATTTTACATGAAATCGCAATTTGTTCACAGTGTAAAAAGTAAGCAACATTGATTATTAAAATTTGGCAAGAATATTTAAAAATATATAGAATGCTGTAGTTTTTTGAACTGCATCTGTGACTATCACTTTTTTATATTTTTTAATAGTATTTAATAATTAGCAGGACAAATGAAAATGTCTCATTGCAATCATTAATCATTTTACTATTAGCTGCCACTTTCACTAAAACCACTTTGCTCGTGATAGTGATTGGCTGTTTGGTAAAATACAATGTTTTTACATGACTTCATGGCATATTTAATTTCGTTATCAGATGACGGCTAAAATTTACAGTGGCCTCTTGGGCTATAATAAAATTTCAAAAAACTAATTTTGTAGAGGCCCAATTTTTTTTCGTATTCGTAATCGACTTTAATTGTCAAATTTGTTTTATTTTTTTTATATATTTTTTTTAAACTAAACTTGAATGAATTTTAACACTTTATACATGTTAGAGATATATTTTTTACATTACATATTTGTCAAAATCTGTCGATATATTCTATATATATTCCAGGAGATTTCCTTTTGAGATAAAATTTACTATCTTAATTATTTTATGTTAGTTATGGTATACCTAATAAAAAACTTAAATGTATTTGTAGTTTGGCCAATTTTATTTATTTGTATAATTTAAAAGTATTTGCTTTCCTAATTAATATTATAAAAAAATCACATTATAATAAAAAACATATCATTAAACATTTTGTAGGAAATGAAAAATTTGTTCAACTAACTTTTTTTATCAAACTGTTAAAATACCCAATCCTTTTAATTATTAAGTAATGTTTGAAACACAATCCAAAAACAATCAAATAAATTAAATCGATATAAAAACACCACGTATATTTACTTACTTAATAATGATTATATATAATAAACATACCTATGGTAATTTGATTTAAATGATTCAAACGTCAGTTTAATTATTTTAATTATTCTAATTGAAGTAGGAACTTACCATAGTGGACTGTAGCCAGATACACGACATGTATTTCTAAAATAAAATTAAAGCCCATTTTAATCAAACAATTTAACAAATAATAAAACAATTTTTTTTAAATTTTTATGGATAATTATTTATGGAGAAATACGATTTTGCCAGACTGCCTAACAAAAGTACTTTTCATTAAAATTTTATCCATATCAAAGAGAGCAATATAAAGAACTTATAAAATATTTGGGTTGCCTTTTTTCACTTGGCTGCAATCTCTTGTCAACCAGGTATAAACAGGTATAATTTCATTCAATTTATAAGTTAACGTATCTTAATAAATTATATAAATATTTAAAGCTAATTTGTATCTCTAAACGATGGAATACGGTTGCCTACATAAAAATACCCGCAAATAGGGTTTGCCAACTGTTAAAAATACATGGCCCTTCTATTGGCCTGACAAAATCGATAGTGGCAGACCTAATTAAATAACATTCCCTTGTGAAATTCAAAGAAAGATAGGATGAAACAAGAAACTGCAGAGTTGCCAGGGAGCTCTTAAGTTATCCTGATAACACTGCAACAAACAAATACTTGACTATGACTAGACAGAATCTGCGCCTAGTCACAGACATTCTGACAGGTCATTGCCAAATACGGAAGCATCTCCATATTATAGGACTGTAAAAATCTGCACTCTGCAGAGGGTCCGAACAAGAAGATGAGACCAACGTATCCTTTACGATTGCTCGACGCTCTCATTTATTAAAAGATTTGTGTTCGGCGAGTATCGGCTAACACCGGCCGATATAAGAGAAGCAACACTTGGCGTCGTTGTCAATTACAATAAATCTGTAGGCTGCCTCACGAGCTAGGAGGTGCCTATTATCTTAGGAACATGTACAATGGGCCTAATGAGGCCTTAGTGCCGTGGGGGTGACCTACCCTCCACACGTTACAGATACAGATACATAGGAGTAAGAGAAGGTTTGCGCGCCAACCTTTCATCAGAAAAGGGCGCGGTGTATTGTCTCTCCGTCATTTTTAACTACTACGTATAGAGGTGTGTCGTTCGCGAACGATTCGTTCAAAAAGAACGAATCAGTGCACTGACTCGAATGAATTGATTCCCTGTTTTTAAAAGATTCGAATCTTTTTTGAGTCAATTGCTCGATGGCTCTGCGATCGATCAAACACGCCGAGTTCCGAGTTTGGTTGCTTCGTTCATTCGATTCGGATTCGGTATTTGGTATTTTACATCGGCATCGCCAAATTGGTCGCTTTTGTTCTACGTTCTACGGCATAATACGAGAACTCTAACTGACAGGCGGTGGCGGTATGTGTCTTTAATGTTTTTCTCACTTTACAGGAGGTGTGTATTAAGCTTAGGTAAACAATTTATGCGTGTTGTCTGATAAATAAATTTAAATCAAAGTAAAATTAAAACAAAAAATTTTGGCTATATATTTGGCATTTAAAAAAAATTGTGTTATTGTTGTTTATCTTAACGGACAAGGATGTATTTATTATTCAGCTGCCTTTTTTTTATGAAATATGAAACATTAATTCGCTTTACTTTAAAATAAATCTGGTTATAATTATTTTACTCAACGACCTAGTAGGTAGGTAGGTAGGTTAGGTAGTACTCAAATTCGTAAAAGTTCGGTTCGATTTCCTTCGCCGGATCGGCGGAATAACATCGTTCGTGGTTCGCTAAAGTGAATCACTTGAGAACGAATCTTGAAGAACGAATCTTTTTAGGTGAATGAATCAAATGAATTAATTCAGTAAAAAGATTCGAACTTCCCACCTACTACGTATGCGTCGATAGTCATTTTTGTAAAATTTCCAAATTTGGAAGGCTAAGGTGACAGCGATGTCAAATGTCACCTGTTGACATTGATATTGTTAGACAGGTTTTTGGTATCACAATGTATTTCAACTCTACTTTAACAACAATTATACCCCAGTATATATATCAATCAGTATTGGCACTCTGAGGCGGCACGTTTGATCTTTAAAAGTAGAAATTTTAGTTGACACTTGACGTTTTCGGGATATGAAAAGTTTTCTTTACACGGACTTGGTATACCTGGTTAGTTGAATTTTTGTTCTGTTGCTTTTCAAATTTGTGTGTATGAGCGAGATGTGAGATACCTTTATAGACAACGGTTGAACAACTTAATTACTTTGAAGAAGAAAATAGATTAGATATCAGGGCAGTCTTCGCAAATGTGAGAAGGCAGAACCGTTTTAAAATTTTTTTATATATGTGAAATATTACTTTTTAGTGAAAAGTTTAATTACTTTTAGTTCAAACTATAACTTAGCTTGTCAAGGAAAATATATAACACACAAGGTTAGAGTAACAAAATAGAGGTTTTGCTTTATTTCTTAAGAATTACTCTAATCTAAAACTTTTCTATGTTGTAGAAATTTATTCTATACGTTATTTAGGTACTTACTGCAAAATCTATAGGAAAGTATGTAGTTTTAAATATTAAAATTTATAATGGAGACATATTTAGTGTAGTTTTTTTTACAAATATATACTCAGTGACTTGTTTTAGTGAATGAGTTCAAGTATGGCAGACTAAAATCGTTACTTTTTATTATGAATTTATTTAAAAATGGGAACTATGTATATGGTTTTCGTAGTTTTTACACTTGTAATAAAAATATCAAAGTTATGTTTATTGGCCATTTACTACACACAGCAAATTCATAGACACTATACATATCACTATTTGACATTCTTATTAAACTCATTAATTTAAAATTAACTTTAAACTGAGTGACTACACACAGAATTGTTTGAAAGCAGCCATAAGGTATAATTTATTTATTGGATACTATAAAAAATTAATAGTAGTTACATGTAGAGTTAAGTAACAAGAACTTTAAAAACAAAACAAACCTTTATATCTAGTGAACTTAATTTAGTACAGTCCTCAACTTTCTTAGGCTAATATTAACGATATCTATTTAGACCTCGCTAAAAAACTCATTGGTAACAGCCATTATCTTGTTAAAAGGAAATATACTACTTGGATCTAAACTAAATAATTTTTTGTTACTTGGGATTCTTAGATTAATCTTTGCCACATTAAAATTTATATAGTCAATCAAATCACAATCTTTGTACTTAACATTATTTAAAATAGAGTACAAAATATATCACAGCCTGTTGCTTTCTTCTTTGTAAAAGAGATTTAATCTTAAAACTATCGAGCATAGTTTTATATGAGATCTTATAAAGGTACAAGTATTTTTTATGGCATAAAGGTATGATAAAAATATTTTTTGTACTTTTTCAATATGATCAATATGTGTGGCTTTCAAGGGCATCCATATTTGTGAAACATACTCAAGATGGGTCTTAGTAAGGCATTATATAATTTGATTTTGGTGGTAATTCTAATTTTTTTTTGTATTTCTGATTTAAAAACCCAAAGCTTTTATTGTTTTTTTAGTTATGTGTAAGAAATGGTTATTAAACTTCAAATTAGACTGAAAGACAACTCCAAAATCCTTTATCTCATATTCACGATTTAATGTGACATCACAGGTCTTGTGTCTAATGTAAAAAATTAAGAGGCTATGGATCCTTACAACTTAAAATATGCATATGTTTGTAAGTGTTAAATGGACGGATAAAAAGTGTTGTTTTTATTTACAACTATAATAAGAAACATATTATTTTTGATACCTGATAATCAATAAACAATATATTTTTTGGAGTAGTAACAGATTTATTAATACACAACTATTATTTTGTTACAAATATTTATATTATAATATTTATAATTAACATAATAGTTGATATAAGTCCTTTAAAAATAATATATTTTGATTTAATTGTTGAATTTATACATGAACAATTTTCCTTGTAGCGTTGTTTACATTTTGCAGAGAACTATTGTATTCTGCTTTTAGTTGATAAATCACGTACATGTAAACGGGTTGAATGTAGACAATGTTAATGTTTTTGCTACTACTGCTGGCTAGGAATGCTGGGCTGGGACACCAACACAAAAAAAACGAAGCACAAAACACTAGATCAGTTTCTATCACTTATACACTTACAATTTACAACCATTCAAGGAACTAGCATGTTGGAAATACTTTACGAAAACATATTAAACATAAATCAGTCGAATACAATGTATTTTCTTCTTATAAGACACCTTTTTAGCTTGATTACTTCTAGTACTCTATTTATTCCAATGTCCTCAAATAAAACTAGCAATAATACGTAACAATAAGGATAAAACACACACTAAAGTGTATTTGGGGTATTTTTGATCTAAATTCACTATCAAAACAACAAATTTTCCGTTTTTAAGCTGTGAATGTATTACAAAAACTACTTCGATAAAATGTAAACAAAAGTTTGTATTTGTGTACGAAATATGGATTGCCTGCGCATGGTAGCGAGTTTTTAACCGGATTTATGACAAGTGATAGGTTATATCCCGAAAACGTCAGCGCAGTAAAAGCTGCGTGTCTTTTTCCCGCCCAGGGAGTGTCATGGGCCTGATTATACAACTGATAACATTAACATGTAACGTCTATCATAAAACTGAAAACTGACGTCAGGATTATCCTTATATAGCTTCTCGAACTGTCGTCTAGAATATTCTTGACCGGTAATGACATTTCCAAACATTTCTGGACTATTCTATCTTCTTTTACTTGTACTTTTACTTATGATGATCGCAGCATACTGTAGGGCGATGAGTAACATTCCACTTCTTTTTCTATCTGTACGTTTCCTATAATAGCCGCAGGTTACTGCAGGATGCTGCGTAACAATATGACAGATGTCGAAAAGACATCGCACCTTTAATCATAAAGTGGCACAACTAAAAAATGCTAGTTTCGTAGAATATGCCAAAAACTGTTTTATATTTGGAGCTGCCTTAGTATATTTGAACTTTGAGAAAATTTACGAAGTATTATGAATAAATGAAATATGAGAAAAGGTTAAGCAATATTTTAAAGATGTATGTATAATTTAGTTTTTTTTTTTAAAGAAGAAAGGAAAAATGGTTTAACTGTCAGTAAGAAAAAAAGATTATGTATCAATACGAAATGTGTCAATTTATGACTAAAAATTGAATAACGATTTTAGTATTATTTTGGAATAGTTCTTTTTTGGATTATATTAATAAAATATTTCAAGTAACAAAGCAAAAAATGCCTCTTTAGAAGCAAATTTGCAAAGAATGCTATTTCAAACCCTGTCACTATTGGCACACAACTAACATTATGTCGCTTTAGGTCTAAAACACCTTACAAAATCCGATAGAACTAAACTGGCGCAAATATAAATCTGCACTTCCTGGCTGATTATTTCAACGTAGGTCGGAGTTACCTCAATAGATGGTACTATTTTGGATCGTTTTATTACCAAAACTCAAAATCTTCAAATTTTGATTTATGCCACTTTATGATTAAAGGTGCGGCGACATGCGACATGTTCTATTGCCGGTGTTAGTTAGGTCACTCCAGGTGTGATTCGCGTGTGAGCGGAGAGGGTTAGAACTATAATTTGGATTAAAATAACCAAAAAAGGTTGACAGCTGTGTACACGTAGTTTAGATTCAAAAGGAAAAACTTGTATTTCGTACAAAACTTTTTTATTAATCAATGCAAAGCGCTTTCGGCTTATTTGCCATCATCAGTGCTCATCTACAAAAATTGTTGATGTAAACTTACAATTTAAAAAGATTTTAAAAAATATATTATAAAATCTGAATTAGACTTTTAAGTCAAAAGTTAAAATTGTATATATACAATTGTTTGAACAAATTAAAAATTACAAGAAACAAATAAAGTGACAAAAAACTAGTATTGGGAATAGTGAGTGTGGGATAAGCCCTTACAAATCAAATCTGATCTCCAGAAGCAAGTTAGCTTGTGTGGAATTAAGGAATCATGCCACCCTCACTATTCACAAAATTGAAAAAAGGTTAACAAATTTAAAGAAATTTACAATTAGAGGGTGACTGTGGAAGATATATTGAAATTTGAATCCAGAATACAATATTTGATATGAAGAAAGTAAAACGCAGAAGGCCAAAGTAAAAAAACTGAAGGTTTTTTTTATATACATTATAATTATGAAAAAGTCTACCTACTGTCCACAAGGTATCCAACAAGTTCCTGGTCATCCTCACTCTCAAAATTATATATTTCGGGATATTTACAACTTGCTAAATCATAATTTTATTAATATTAATATTTTCAAATTTAAATTTCTCTCTTCATTTTGGTTCAAGTTGTTTAACCGTTTCCACATGACAGTGGTGACAAGCGACACTTGAAGACTTTGACTTGTCAAATGTCAACAGAAGGAGGTGCGTTCACCTCAGTGTGGAACATGTTTCTCCGAGTGTGATTCGAGTGATTGGAGGTTAACGGAGATCAAAATTTGTTATTGAATTTAAAGATTTAATTTATTGTTAGTTAAATTTGAATAAATGTTTAATATAAATAATATTATTATTTTGATGTCAAGACCAAACAAAAATGTCACTCGCGTGATTCTGATGTGCCAGCCCGGGCTCTGCAGAACATTCTTTCAGAGAACCCAAGATGGCACAACTGAACCCGCGGTCCCTAAAGGTGAATCTGATGTTTAGTCCTAAAAATTACTAAATCACTCAACAAGCGTACTCATGGTTAAAAGAGACAAAATAGAGAACAAAAACGTTTTAAACAAAGGAGTACCATGATCCCAAAGGTAGGCTCTGATGGGTGAAATCGAGTTTAGGAGGGGATGGCTCTCGAAGGCTTGTATTGGGTGACTCGGACCTACATCATCATAGAGGGTTAATTGAGTTGTCTATGGAGTGGTATGAAATTTCTGTTAAGGTTCACTTGAGTGTTGAGACAGAGTATATTGTTGTCTCTTTCGAGAGTAATTTCAACATCTTCATGAAAATCTAATAAATTGAAATTTTTTGTGTTTAAGTTAACTAATAATTTGGAGTTTTTTGTTGGGCTGAAATTATGTTGATTGCACCTTAAGTGATGTCCGAATGCAGATGTGTCCGGCTTCTTGATGTGCTCGCCTATCCGGACTCCCAGAGATCTACAAGTTCTGCCGATATAACTGGCATCGCAATCGCTGCATTGCAACCTGTATACTCCACTCTTATCTAACAAATTAGTTTTGTCTTTTGTGTTGACTAGATGGGAGTCTAGTTTATTAATTGATTTAAAGGATACTTTGATGTTATCTACGTTTTTAGCAAAAATTTTTGAAATGCTCTTAGCTAAGTTATTTTCCCAGAAGGGGATTGATATGTAAAAATTATTAATGTGACTTAAATTGGGGTAGGCTAATTTTTGAATTTTCTTGAACTTAATTTTGGTGATTAGAGATTGAATTATGTCCGGGTCATACCCGTTGTTAAATGCAATTTGTTTAAGTATATTTAATTCTTGAAGATAATTAATTTTATTTAGAGGAATTGAAAGAAGTCTATGAATATAGCAATAGAAAGCAGACATTTTATGTTGGTGGGGGTGATTTGAAGAATAGTGTATCACGTGGTCTGTTTGGGTGGGTTTTCTATATATGCTAAATGATATATTATATATAATTTGGAAGTTTTAATAAATTAATTTCAAATGAGCTGAAAAGGTATTTAATTAATTATATTAACGGATTTAAAAAATATTGGATGTGATTATTAAATATTTTTAAATGAATAAAAGATGATATTAAAATATGAAAATTTTATATTTTTTATATGCAGACGTTAGTTTTCTTTCAATTAACGATTAGGGCTGAATAGATCCCGTTGTGCTGTCGTTGGTTCTAGGAAAGAAGACGGCACCGCGGAAGCCTCGCTCGAGGTGTATTTGCTCAAAGCCAGTGATGATTGGAGAAGGAAATTTATTTAAAGGTTGAAAAAAGACCGAACAAAATCCTGTTTCCGATGTGCTATCCCAGGCTCAGATGTCTTGGTCCTAAAAGATCAATATCGCTCAATAAGCGTACTCATGGTTAGAATGCGACAAAAGATTAAAAATAAAACAAAAAAGGAGAAAGTATCAAGGTTGATTCTGATGAGTAAAAAAAAAGTTGACTCTCAAGAGCTCTTATTGAGCGACTCTGACTCTGATCATCATTGAGGGTTAACTAAGTTGGCTATGGAGAGTGGTAGGTATGAAGTTTCTGTTTAGGTTACCTTGAGTGTTGAGACAAAGACTGTTATTGTCTCTTTCTAGGGTGATTTCAATATCTTCATGAAAATCTAATAAATTGAAATATTCTGTGTTCAAGTTAACTAATAATTTTAAAATTTTAGTTGGACTAAAATTATGGCTAAATTAAGACTCAGATGATGTCCAAATGCAATTTGTCCGGCCTTTAAAGTTTTCAAGCAGTAAAAAAATTTAGATTGATGTATTTTCAAAATGTTTGAATTAGTAACCGATTGTAGAAAACTCAATCATAACCGAATGTAGTAAAACATAGCTTGCCTCATTTTTTTCATTTATAAATTATTAATTTTTTGGGGTATTTTTAGGTCTATCCATTTGTTTGCGCCTTAAGTTGAACACTTCACCTATCGACGCAAGCGCAATAGTTTCAAAACGAAGCAAAGCTAATGCACTGCATCCTTGTCTAATAGACAGTGTGATAAGCTACCTTTATCCCGTTTTTATGTTTAACAGTTGACAACCCTAATTTGCGGGTTCTTTTACGGAAGCAACCATATTTCATCGTGCATAGATACAAATTAGCTTTATTTATTTAATAAAATATGTTATGAACCCATAAATTAAGCAAAATTAAATCTGTCTACACCTGGTTGAGACAAGAGGTTGCGGCAAAGTTCTTTACTTATCTCGTTTTGAAATAAATTATATTTTTTTCTTCAAAACAAATGGACGAAATTGATTATTAAGTACTTGCAGGCCCGACGAGAGGGGGAACAGGGGGGCAAAATTCTCTGGAGCTGAGACTTTTTTTTTTAGAATTTTGCCACAAAAAAACCTTTTTTGTTTTTTTTTAGAAAGGACTTTATTTTTATAAAAATGCTCCGCTATTTATATAAGGGGCCCTTGGCAGTGTTTTTGCCCCGGGCCCGCCATGGCTCTCGGCGGCCCTGAGTACTTGCAGCCATATTTTGGCAAAACCGTACCTAATTATCTATATAAATTATATATAATTGTCTATATAAATTGTATTTTGATTAAAAAACAGATAAGTGCCGTTATCACACGGTCGGATCTTAGACTATGAAGTAATAATGATTTTATTTAAATTAGACAGTTTTGCTACATGTGGTATATCTACCTTTATTTTTTTGTCGTTTTTCAATTGACCAACCCTAATCTCATCAATCGACGCCTCGGTAATTCCACATTGATCTCTACAAATGTCGTGTAGAGCTTTTAACATAAACTTCAATTCGTTGGGAATTTCTTCAAACTGAAACCAAATAATAGGAAATAAGAAAAACTCATAATCAAAGGATATCTTTGCAGCTGTATGTCATACAATATATTGCCTCAATTAATATTTTTTACTTATTTAAATGAAGTAAAATTATACAGGTTACATTTTTGCATAAAATTTAAAAAAATTTCTAAAAAATTAAAACACATTTTCTTTTTCTGCATCACTACCTAGATATTTCAGATTAATTTTTCAATTAAATTGTTATATTAGGACATATCAGTCAGGTTCCCTGCAAATGCTGAAAAATTTGGTATTCCTTGTTATTATTTGAGGAAGGGAAGGTCCTCTCACAGCGCACTCACCTGCGTCTATATACAATTAACGATATTTTTTTATAATAGCTTTAAACTGCTGTAGTTTTTGTAGCTTCACTTTAAAAACCTATGTTGATTTTCTGAAAAATGTTTTGCTGTTGGCAAAATGATATAAGTCCAGTGGCGCATCCAAAGTTTAAGTCTAGGGGGCAGTGGTAATATTTAAAATTTTACTTTTGATAATAGTAAATTTTAGTACCTATATAAAGTTAAGTTTATACTTCTTGGGAAGAGGGGTAATTATCCCTATTACCCCCTACATATATGCGCCCTTGTATAAGTATTCTACGAAGCATTACTAAAATACGAGTATTTTTGAAAAACTGGAAGATATTGTGATGGTCCGATAGTTTTCAACAAATATGTAAGAGGTTTTCTCGCCCACCCTCATCGTGTAACCCTATACAAAATAGAAAACAAAATATTCGATCGTTAAATATTACGGGGAATGAACCTCAAGCAGACTGTAATAAATGTATCAAATAAATGAGAAAATAAATAAATAATAAAATCGAATGTACCAGATACAACTTAATTAATACGTTATGGGCAAGTCTTAATTCTTACAGAACAAAATGCTAAATTTATCTACAGACATCATCTCAGGAATCACTAACGCTTACTAGTGATGTCTGCATCTCAGGCAAACGCTAGAACCTGTGTACTTGTTTTATTAAACTTAGTGTCAACAAATCTACTTCTAAAACAAAAAATATTACTTTCCTGTTTAGTTATTACAGGCTTTTTCCGGTTATTTTGTACAACCTATTCTATTAACCCTGTAAATGTTTAGAGGATGAACTAAATACATGTATTTTCCACACACATCTGAACAATAATTTATTCTAACTTGCCCTTATTGGTTTTTCTGTGGAATTTTTTAAAAATAATATATTGTAACTAGACTAAAGGTTTTTGGATAACATTTTTTACTTTCCTATCTGTATACAGATAAGAAGAGTATAGGAATCATGATTTTTTTCGGCCTCAAGTCTTCAAAGGATTTTTACGTTTTGAGATCCCCTGAATCCGTTTTGACTATTTTCGCTATGATGTCTGTGTCTGTGTGTGTGTGTGTGTGTGTGTGTGTGTACGTGCGTGCGTGCGTACGTGCCTGCGTGCGCGAGCGCGCGCGCGCGCGCGCGCGCGTGTGTGTGTGTGTGTGTGTGTGTCTATATCTACGATAACTCATGAACAGATACAAAGGAAAACACCAAATTTTAAACTTATGCTTTATTCCATCCTGCGGTGAACTGATTAGATTTTGGACAGAGTCGGAACATCTGGAGGGGTACTTTATAGGGTTCACTTTTATATTTTATGAAATATATCTGTTATTTACGTTTGGAGAAGAAAATTCTTTAAATAAAAGTTACTTCCTATATTATTCTCTATAATTTTTGTTTTATATAAAATTTTCTTAAAATGGTCCGTATTCGAGAAATTTTACAAAATGTAAAAAATTCTGATTTTTAAGAAAATTGTTCAATTAAAAGATGTTTGCGATATCGACTTTTATAATTTTTGTTTTTACATGATAACTCTAAAATGGACCTTATTGTAAAAATTGGAGGAAAAGTATAAAATTTAAATTTTTGAGTATGGCAATGAATGTATATAGAAAAATGTTTACAATTGGTACAGGGTGGACTTGTGGTCTAGCAGACAGAATATGAAAGAAATTATTTCTTATCAATTTTGAAAAAAACATAGTCGTCTAGTTTTTTGTGAAATGTCATTATTTGTTTAGTAATTTATTGATGTTCAGTGACAGTTTAGTACTACAATATTTTTGGTATTCGTGAATGTTTTAATTATTGCTTAGATTTAATTTGAATTAGAAATGGAGTTAAGTGTAAAACAAAAAATTGAAATACTTATGATGATTAGGTATGGAGACAGATCGCGAACTCAGATGGAAGTGTGCAATTTGTTCAATGATAAATATCCAGAAAGACCTATATCGCGATCAACAGTCAGTAAGATTGAAAATAAATTTCGAGAAACTGGTACGGTTGAAAATATACGCAAATCAGGTCGTCCCTCTGCAAATGCTGATACAGCATTAGATGTTTTACTTAGTTTTGAAGAAGACGCGCACACTTCTGTGCGTAAAGTTAGTCGCGATATTAAAGCTTGAAAAATGGCATCCTTATAAAATCAAACTTGTGCGGGAATTAAACGAAGATGATCCCGATAGAAGAATCCAATTTTGAAAAAATGATGGATAAATGTCACCGAGACCCTCTCTTGATACAAAACAATATTTTTTCTGATGAGTCCTATTTCACGTTAAATGGCGAGGTTAACCGTCAGAATTGTAGATACTGGGCAAAAGAAAACCCCCACTGGATGCGTGAGCATCATACACAATACTCGCAAAAGGTAAATGTATGGGCTGGAATTGTAAGAAATCGAATCATCCGTCCCTACTTTATCGAAGGTAATTTAAACGGGGGTAACGTACCCTGAGTTTTTAAGGGAGTATCTCGTACCTACTTTACGTAATTTGTTTCCCAACAGACGTAATCCTGGAGGTTGTGATGAAAGTTTATGGTTTCCACATGATGGTGCGCCTCCACATTATGCTGTAGATGTTAGAAGGTACCTAGATGAATTTTTTCCGAACAGGTGGATTGGTAGACGTGGACCTATCGAATGGCCAGCGAGGTCACCAGATTTCAATCCTTTGGATTATTTTATGTGGGGCCATCTGAAGAATGTTGTGTATCAAACGAAGCCAGCAAATATTCAAGAATTAAAAGAGACAATTTGGACAACAATAAACAATATTTCTCAAGACACAATAAACAAGGTTCAACAAGAATTTGTACACCATTTGGGATACTGTCAAATACAGAAAGGGCTGCAGTTCAAACATTTATAAAGTCATGTATTTCATCATATTCTGTCTGCTAGACAATAAGTATTTTTGATAATATTGTTAATTTAACTAATAAAGAATGTTACGCGTTACTTTATGAGCACACACAAAACTATTGTATTTTTGCCCACCCTGTACCAATTGGAATCAACATGTGATACATTTTTGGAATCAGCTTAGCTAGAGTAATCCGAAAATTGTGACAAAATGGGGGTGTTCCATTTAAAAAAATGACGGTGACGTCATTACTCAAAAGTAATTCACCCTGTATATTAGATTATTATTTTAAAATACGGTAAATTAAAATAAAAAATCGACGTGTTTCAGAATTATTTCTTAAAATGGCCTGTTTAGCTAAAAATGAATTTGTTCCATACTTTACGGAACACTGTATATTATGAATTGCCGAGAATACCTGTCGTATGAAAGACGTGGCCTTTGCAGAAATATCACTGTCTTTCATATATAAAAATTATGGCACGCAATGTGTTTAAATATAAAAATAAACATAGATTGTTTTATCTTCTTAACGAAAATTACTGTTAAAAAAATAATCAATTAAAGAATAAATATTTTTAAAAGTTTGTCTTTGTTATATAGCAAGGACTTTAAAGAGAGTAAATATTTAGCTAATTTCCCAATTAACGTTGCCTACAGGCAGAGTGTAGCCTTTACCTATGCTTAAAATAATATGCGCACCATAAAATGATTATTAACCTTGTTCCAGAATTGTGATACAATATATTTTTCAATAACATTCATTTTTTATTGTCGAGCCTCTAATCGAGTTCGAGTAATTTTTTCGAGAAAGACATCGAGACGAAAGTATGTTTGAATTTTTGTCTCTATGATTAAGCCAAGACGAGAATTATCTTCGAGATTAAAATGTTGAGGAACATTACATGAAATTAACCTAAATATCTCCATATTGCGAGCAACAAAATAAAGTTAGTGATAATGCAACCTTTATTTTAATTTTAAGTTTATTTTTGATTCAGTTGGATGGATTGAATTACTAATAAATTTAGCTTTTAAATGAAGTATCGCACTTTACAATACGTACCTTTTTTTTCATTTTAAATTAGTTTTGGATTCAGTTAACAAGTGCATTGAATTACTAATAAATTTAGCTTTCAAATGAAGTATCACACTTTACAATACATAATTCCCATTAAAATTACCTACCATTTCTATGATGTGTGATTTTTGATACTCTCCCTATTTACATTGTATTGGTTGGCATATGACAGATAAGGAAATGAAATAAATATCGATCTGTTTTGAGTTTTTCAAAAAAAAAATTATCTTTCAAGATATTTTAAATATAAAAAAACATTTTATTGTAAAAAAAAAAAAATGACTTACCACATCATGAACTTTTGACTTAGCAAAGGCTTCACCACCAAGTAAAATTAGTAAAATTGTTAAACTTATCATTCCCTTTTTCAACATTGTGACTGAACACAGTTTTCTAATAGTGTAATCAATATGTTCTGTGCAAGTCAAACTTATTACTCTCAATGCGTGCCTAATGTTTTGGTAATTAAAGTTTACTTAGCATATTAAACAAAACGTTAAAGTTATTAAAACAATTACATTAAATGCGATCCGTACGTAATAAATAATTAATTATTATATATTTTTTATTTATTTAAAGTTGTCTCACACTGACCGTTTTTTGCCGTTAAAAAATTATTCTAGCGAGAATTTGTGAACTACCCTAATAATAATAATAATAATTGTTTTAGATTACATCAAATTACAATGAATTTAATATAAATATAAAATTATTATAAAAAAAATATTTACGTAAAAATCATGTAATAGTAAATTATGTATAATCAGATAAACTTTTCTAGATCAAAATAACCATCAATAGTATTTTTCTCTGTATTTCAAAAATGTATTTAATTAACAGTCTTTTTAAACGTATGTCTATTGTTTATTTATTTTAATGGCACATGAAAGCTATTTTATATAGTTTTCGTGCTATGAACAATTGAGAATGTTGCGTAAACGTTTTAAACATGAAAAGAACAGTGTAAAAATTAAACACCCTGTATAAAAGTAAATAAATCATTTATGTACATGATGAAAATTAGTGGTCCAAGTACTGAACCTTGAGGAATACGTTAGAAACACTTTAGAAAGGCCCTTAGAATGTAATAATTGACGTATATTTATAATCAACAATTATACTTACAATAATTAAAACATTAGTTAATTTTGTGAGTGTGAGGTTAGTGGGAAGAGGACGTGCCAAAAGGAAACATTAACTTCTTAATTTGCCGACGTTTCGACGTTTATTTTTCGTCTTTTTCAAGGCTTGTTAAATTAATTAATGCAAGGCACATGGCATATGTGGAATTTGCCGAAAGAGTTAAAACAGAACAATACATAAATAAAATCTAACACTAAAAGTAACATTTACACACATATCTTAAAATGATGATAAAATTAATCAAAATATACTTTTGCAAAAGAGAATCAAGATGCGTAAAGTGCGTAGGAGAACATCATACGAAGAATTGTGTAAAAAGTCCAGAACAACAACCGAAGTGTATAAACTGCCTAATGGAACATCCTGCTAACTACAGAGGATGTGAGGTAGCTAAAACCTTTCAGATAAGGAAGGATAACACCACTAAACCAAAAATAATGACGAGGTAGAAAAGATCCATAAACGCTTTTCCTACTGTCAGAAATAAAATAACATATTCTCAGGTAACAAACTTACAATAGCAACCAATTCAAAGGTCACAACAAGCCATGAATCCCATGCCACAAATTGCACAGTATACTGCACAGTCAACCAACTTAGCAGAAAGTACTACTCATGAATTATTATTATTATTCATAATAACCAAAATAGATCTGACAGGCTCCAGAAGCTAGAAGAATTAAACAAACCCCAAACATATAACAGAACCACTAATGGACAAAAGAGATATTAAAATAGCCACTTGGAATGCCAAAAACAAACTGATATCCAAGTTTTCTTGAACGTTCAAAAAATAGATATATGTCTGATTTCTGAGACCCACCTTACAACAGAGTCATACATTAAATTCAGAGGATATAACTTCTATCACACTATCCATCCATCAAATGCAGCAAGAGGAAGAAGTGCGTTAATTATTAAATATAACATTTCCCACTATGAGGAACCAGGCATCCAAGAACCAGAAAATCAGTTAACCTTTAGCACCATTAACATTAAGGGGGGCAAAATTACAATAGCTGTAATCTATTGCCCACCAAGATACAACCAGAAAAAAGAAAATTATCTCAATGTACTCAAAAAACTAGGTAACAAATTTATAATCGGTGGAGATTACAACTCCAAAAACACCAACTGGGGTTCAAGATTAACCACAGTCAAAGGAAAATAATTGCACCGAGCTGCATCAGAACTTGGTTGTACATACCAATCTTCTGAAAACCCCACCTATTGGCCTACCGACCCAAATAAGATTCCAGATCTCTTGGATTTCTTTATTCTGAGGAAAATGTCACCAAACTATACGCAAGTAGAAGAAAACTTTGATATGGATTACAACCATTCTGCAGTAATCCTTACTCTAAGTGATAATGTTATTGAAAAAGAAGCCAAACCGATCCTAGCAAATCGGAAAACTAATTGGGAAGGTTTTCAAGAGGACTTAACAAATACTATTCAACTGACCATAACACTAAAAACAAAAAACAGCTAGATGAAGAACTGGAAAGGTTTATAGTTGAAATTCAGCAAGCTGCATGGAGGAACACACCAAAAGTAAGAAGATTAACAGCTGGAAAAAACTATCCTGTCGAGATAAGAGAACTGGTAACAGAAAAAAGAAAACTAAGAAAGAAATGGCAGATGACAAGATCACCAGAAGATAAAAATATATTAAATAGGACTACCCAAAGACTGAGAAGAGAAATCCTAAATCATAAATCAACAGATACCTAGAGGACTAACAGATGATAAAGAAACTGATTATTCACTCTGGAAGGCAACTGAAAAGATGAAAAATTCATATAAACTTTGTCCTCCAATCAGAATAGCAGATAACAAATGGGCAAGAGACAATCAACAAAAAACTGATATTTTCGCTGACCACTTACAAAAGACGTTCCAATTAGATGAAAATCAAGACACTCCTAATGAGACCATCCATAATATGGAACAACTTGAAATTAAGCTAGTTACTCCCAATGAAGTTATGAAAGAAATTCAGACAAACATCAACTCACAGAAAGCCCCAGAATATGACCTTATTACTGGAGAAATATTAAAGAAACTACCACGGAAGGCTATTGTTAAATTGACATACCTCATTAACGCAGCATTTCGCCTGATGCGTGGAAAATGGCTGAAGTTATCCTAATTCCAAAGCCAGGAAAACCTCTGAATGAAGTTATTTGAAAAACTATTTCTAAAACGACTAAAACCAATAATTGAAAATAAAAATCTGATCCCTTCGCACCAATTTGGTTTTAGAAACAAACACTCGACAATAGATCAAGTACACAGGATAGCTGATATCATCGAAAAAGCTTACGAAGATAAATATATATGCTCAGCTATATTTCTTGACGTAGCCCAAGCATTTGACAAGGTTTGGCACACTGGCCTAATACAGAAACTTGAAAAATGCTCCATAGACAATATGTTTACATTCTACAATCATATCTAACGGGAAGAATGTTTGGAGTAAAGCAAGACGAGGCATACTCCGAAATGAAAGAAATTAAAGCAGGTGTCCCACAAGGCAGTGTGCTAGGACCGGTTCTTTACTTATTATACACCAGCGATATCCCTCAACAACAATCTGTTAAAATAGCAACATTTGCGGATGACACTGCAATATTGGCAGTTGGCGGAACTAATACAGAGACCTCAGAAAAACTTCAGGAAACCTGCAACAGAATCAATCGATGGACAAAAAAGTGGAAAATAAAAATAAATCAAATTAAATCAGTGCATGTTGATTTTACTCTTCGACCAAATGAACAAAAACAAATAAGAATAAACAATGACGTTATACCACATCACGATTCGGCCAAATACCTAGGGATGCACCTAGATGTAAGACTTAAATGGAAAGAGCACATAAAAAAAAAGCGTAAAAACTTGAACTTAAATTCAAAAAAATGTATTGGCTCCTAGGAAGAAAATCCAAATTTTTAGTCCACCACAAACTGCTGATTTATAAACAAATCCTAAAACCAATCTGGATTTATGGCATACAGCTATGGGGATGTGCCAGCAAGAGTAATATCAACATGATACAAGTTTTCCAAAATAAAGTCCTAAGATGCATTTTTGATGCACCTTGGTTCTACCGAAACGATTATCTTCATAGAGACCTGTAGATGCCAACAATCGAAGAAGAAATAAAGAGGTTTGCTGCGAAACATGAGGGTCGACTCCACTCCCACGTCAACAAAGAAGCACTGCAATTACTGGACAACTCTACACTTAACAGAAGGCTCAAAAGGAAGAAGCCATATGAGCTAGTGCAGTGAACGTTAATGTTAGTTTTAGTGTAAAACAGTGTAATAAATCGTCACGCCAACTTGTGATGCTTTCCTATAGAAGCAATTAAGACAACCCAATGGGGGCTTCTTAGATACGTAATTAGTTATAAGATTTATAGATTAAAATTGTAGGTTAGTCAGTAATAACAATAACAATACTTTAACAAAAAAAAAAAAAAAAAAAAAAAATATGTATAAAATAAAAAATATAGAAAATAATATCGCTAACAACTTTTATTTGAAGAATTTTCTCATCCAGTCGTAAATAGAAGAGATATTCTTCAAAATAAAAAAAAACAACACCCCATAAAGTACCCTCCAGATGCTTCGGCTATGCCCAAAATTTAATTAGCTCGACACATGATGGATTAAAGCTTAAATTTGATATTTTGTGTTTTTCTCTGTTCTTGAGTTATTTTCAAAATTCGTATTTTGCACTTTTTGTCAAATTTCTCGAATAAGGAAATCAAGTGTAAAACAAGAATTATATAAAATGACATTACAAGGAACTTTTACTCGAATAATTTTTTTAAAAATTCGAATTTAGCACTTTATGTCAAATTTCTCGAATACGGACCATTTTAGGAAAAAATTTTATATGGAAAAAGTTATAGAGAATGATATTAGAAGTAACTTTTATTTGACCGTAAATAACAGATATATTCTATAAAGTAGAGAAACAACCCTCTATAAAGTAACCCCCCAGATGTTCCGACTATGCCCAAAAACTAATCATCTAAACGTAAAAATCCGTCGAAATCTTGACGTCGAAAAAACCAGGAAAGTAAAAATAGTAAAATAAATACACAAAATAATATTTGTTATTTTTTATTAAAAACCCTCAAGTTTTTTTTTCGCCATACAGTCTATGATATTATTAATTTAATAACGCAATAAATAGTCATATATATATATAAAAAAATATAAACCTGGTAAAAAATTTCAATACATCACACTATACATCACTAGATCATTCATACATATTTACAAAAAAATTAAGTTATCACACTTAGTACTCAAATATTCGAAATATATCGTATCATTATTATTAAACGTTAAAAAAATATTTGTTTTTCACTGTCAATTATATTAATAATAATTGCATTTATAAACTATTATTTTAAGTAAAATTTAAAAATCTAAATATGAATACAAAATATAGCCAGATATAAATGAAGAGTCAATCCTTGTATTTTTTTACTTACTCAAAATTCTACAGAATTAAAAAAACAATTATATTTATTTAATATTAAAAAACACTATCTCTGTTTTTACAAAATAACTTTGGATTGACCTACTTATAAATTTTAAATCACTAGGCAATTGTTTTAAAGTCCTAACATCAATTTTACAATATGGCGACACTTTTGCACATATTGCAGTTGTTTATTACCGAAACTTTTTCTACAGTTCAACCAACCTTGTAATATTTTCTCTAACACTGGCTACAGTTTATTTTATTTATATTTTTTTTAACGTTTGTATATTGTCATAAATGGAACATGATACTATATTATTCAAAATCTCTATAAACAGTGATGGGACGGTGTCTTAATTTTAAAAACACGAAAATTAAAATTAGCAGATTACCATCTCGTTTTTTGAAAAAGACTGAACTTGACTGATTTTATTAAATTTTCATCAATCATAAACAGATTTACTAATTATAATTCGTAGTCCGGTCCTTATAAAATACTTGGTAGCAGCATATTTTATATGATAGAAGCACTAGATAAAAGAAGAGTACTTTCATTTAAAAGTATTTAAAAGTTATAAGCTTGCCAAATGTTGAAAAATATAATGGGACACCCGGTATATATTTATATATACATGTGTATTTCCTTTTCGCTTTATTCAATAAATTCGGACAAGACCGTTATAACTCATAGACGAAGAATATTATAATCTACATCAGTATCTGAGGAGTCTTCTCATCCAAACCTGTCTTTTCTGCTAAATCAATATATTATGGACCTTTTAGGAAATGATCCTTCCAAACATCTACCAAAAAAGACATTCCATTGATTATAGAATTGGTGAATCGCTGGGATAATTATTTGAAAAGAGGCATGTAACCGGAAGACAGTAAACAAAGAGGGTACTTCCAAACAATTGTCCAGGTGTAAAAACCTTACAGTTGAACCCAATTTAGAAATGCAAAAAGATCTGTTGTTATCCCATATTCAATCTGATATTGGGGTTAGTTTAAATGCCTTATGTATAACACTCGATGTTTTGATCAAGGAAAGAAAGGCCAATAAATCCATAGAAAACAGACCCTACTAAAATTAGTGGAAGGAGCAAAAATGATCTACAATCCCATTTTCAATTATCAATTCATAAAAAACAACAAATGTACCAAGATGAAACCTGATATGCATAAAATGGTGAAGGAATTGAGTTTGGATAGTACGTTCTGTGAAGAAAAGATGTGGGAACACTAGAAATATCTCCAATGCATTTGTTTGATAAGATCGCTACATTCTTTAATCTTTAAACAACTCCCAACTGATTATTTTCTTCCAACTAGTGCACGTATCATATAAAATATGCTATTACCAAAACTTCTATGCGCACTTCCTTACTTATAAGTCGTTCAATCTTAAAGTATTTTACCTTCCCGACCCACCACTGTTTCTCTTCTTACATCTACAACCTCTTCTTCCTATCATGCGACCTTATACACCTGCCCTTATAGCAAATTTCAGTTTCGTGCGACACTTCAGTCGAAGTGCTGGTTCTAACTTGACCGACCTCTCTCATATGCCACGGTTGGATGTGAAACGTCGACGTCCTAATCTCGTGCTTAGCCTCTAGCTGAGGCGTGGTGAAAACGTCTTCTGTGACAAAAGTCGTAGTTTCTATTTCTGCGGGAGTTTCAGTTGTGTTCGTTGTAGAGGAACGCGATGGAGGTTCTGTGAGTTCTTCTGGAAACGTTGGGTTGTTAAGAGTCGTGGTTGCTGGAGGAGTTGTTTCTGTTTCTACTATTGGTTGATGGGTTGATTTATCTTCTTGTCTTGACATGCCGAACATTTCGTATATCGAATCTAGAAAGTCTTCTTTTTCTTCTTGGCTAACGGGAAGATTCCTTTCTGTACTGGTAGAGCTAGATTCAACAGTTGTGTTTATAATTGGTTGTTGTTCTTCTTCTTCGGGTAAATTTGTTGTAATTTCTTTAATATTTTCAGTTTGTACTTCTAAATCTTCATTTTCAAACTGATTGAAGTCTTCTTGGTCCAAATTTGGTCGATCTTCATTTAAACCTTTCTCAGCATCAGAGTTAACCTTTCGTATGTCGTGGTAGGAGTTCAAAACAGAAAAGTAATTTTGACTTTCAGACGTTTCTAAAGGATCTACAGGTCGATGTTTAACTAGTTTCCATACGCCCTTTCTTCTTTTTTGCTTCTTCGATTTTTCCGTATTTGCTTCGTCTTCAGCTTCAGTGTGTCTTTCTGCGTCGAAATTGTTGATAGCTTCGAATTGTTCTTCTATTTTTCTAGTCGTTTCTTTGAATAGTTCATCGCTGGTAACACCAGTTGTTGTTACTGGTACTTCTTCGGTTATTGCTTTTACTGGAAGAGCATATGGGTGATCCGGTTGGTCGTCAGTTAGTTTTGAAGCATTTTCATCGGTTTCGAGAACGTTTGTATCGGTTTTTTCTAAAAAATAAAAAAACTATGTAAAAATAACTCATTTAATTAATGCATGATTTAGACAAAATAATAGAAATCATGTATAAAACCAGATCTATACCTGGACTAAAAGATAGAGCATTAAATTGAATGGACCTGAGTGTGTTGCTTCCGTTTATATACCTGCGTATGATTTTAGGCGCTAGGCTATGCTGGAGAGTATATTTTAAAAAGAAATGAGAAGAAAATTAAATACAGAAAAATGTTATGGCGGACGAAGCTCCAAGCTCTGTACATATACCAAATGGTTTCTCTACAAGCACATCCTAAAACCTATCTGGAAATACAGCATCTAGCTTTCAGCAAAAGTTTCTGATGAGTAAAATACCCCGCAATATTTTCAAAAACAATTAGGTTCTTACTTTGATCCTGATGATTATATTCAGAAGCATCATGCCATTCTTGGGGACTAGCAACAACACTGGGTCTGTACAGAGAAGGATTCAAAGCTTGGTCTTCCTCATCCGGAGCAACGGTTATTTGAAAGTTTGGAGTAGGAGTAGTTACTCCTCGTCTTCCTTGCAAGTATTGCGCTGGATAATTTCCACCTTCAACGTCAGCTTCGGCATCTTCTTTATTTTTATTTGCGGTTTCGGGTAGTTTGAAATGAGTTTTACCTCTGGATCTTATAATATTAGACCTCCTAGTTGCTTGTTCTTGAGTAGGTTGCGTTTTTCTTTGCTGGGCCCTGGTTCTTGTTCTTATTCTAGGCTTCGGTGTTTCGGTTTCGATTTCGGTTATAACCTCTCTGCTGGTGGTGTATTTTGGTACTATCTCTCCAATGAATCTTACTGTGGATGTTTCAACATGAGTGTTGTCAAGATTTAGTTGATAATCTTCCCCATGTTGGCTAGGTGTTTGGTATGCGTATACTCTATGTCTTGGCGCAACTGTGGGGATTTCTACGGGTGTTTGAGCTGCTGGGCCAAAGTCTGGCTTCCTGAAGAACCTGAGAAACAACAAAAGTTATTTACAAACTTTATTAGATTATTGTATTTGAATATTTACCCATAGAACTCTTCCTCGCTTTCTTCTGTCTCTGGCCTTGGTTTATCAATTATTCTTCTAGTACTAACTCTTTCTGTACTTGTTCCCGAACCCCTAGGTCTATCCCTAATCCTTCCACGCACTCTAACCTTTTCCTTAGGTATATCTTCTTCATCTGGGTGAGTGATTTGTACATTTATGTTTGGTCTTGGAGTGGAAGCAGTATTATCATATTGGATAACCGGACGTGCAGACGTTGGATAGATGTTTGAATAATCGTCTTCTTCTGGTGTTACATTTACGATCTGCCCCGGGTCCACAGAGTGATCGTATTCAGCATAAGATTGAGATCCGTCTGGGTGTGTCCTAATTTTGACTGGTTCTGAAGTTGGAATTTCATGGATCTAAAGAAAAACTCATTTAAAGAACTTTAAACTAAATTATATAAACAGAATTTACCTCATTTTCTGTAGTAGCTTGTCTTTCGGTAATACTATTCGGTGTGGTACGTCCTCTGGTTCTAAATCTCGACTTAGTGACAGTACTTTTTGTTCCATAATCGTCTTGTGTGTATTTAGTAGGGCGTTCTGTTGTAACTCTTGTTGGTCTTCTTCTAGAAACGGATCTCTTAGTTGTACTGTAAGTGTTAAATCTATTGCCACCACGTGTTCTAGATCGTACACGTGATTGGGTAGTTGTTTCTATTGGTCTTTCTGTTGTAGTACTAGTAGTTACAGTAGTTCTAATTTGTTCAGTAGTTGGTAGGTAACTTGGTGCTGTGAACGCTCCGTCACTACTAGTCGTTGGTACTAAAAGTTTCGGTACTAATAAAGTTCTCACGGATGGGTCATCCAAAGCGCTGCCATATTCATTGCTTCCATATTGTTCCTTGGAAGCATAATCACTTGAATGTCCTCTGGTAGACTCCAAATTCGGTTGAACTGTATACTCATAAGGTGTTACTTCAAACTGACCTTGTTGTTCATAGGTTGGTTGCTCGTAATTTTGATTGTTCTGTCTGACACCGTTTTGAAGAATCTGCCGATCCATCAGATTTTGATTCAGCGTATAAGCGTGTTCAGGTGTAGGTGTTTGTGTGTAAGCAACATCTTTGTTAACATTCAAACTGTAAACGTTCGTCGGTATATGTTCCACTTCTGTAATGGAATCCGAGTAACTAGGGTTTTTGTAAGACTGTTGAGCGGGAATTCTTTCAGTTTGTACTTCGTCCTGTTGAATTGTATATTGGGGTTTTTGTTCAGCATAATGGACAGTGTTTTGAGACTTCTGTTCGGTAGCATACTGGATATTGTTCTGGGGTTTCTGTTCAGCATAATGAACATTATTTTGAGACTTCTGTTCAGTAGGATACTGGATATTGCTCTGAGGTCTTTGTTCAACATATTGGACAGTATTTTGAGACTTCTGTTCAGTAGCATACTGGATATTATTCTGAGGTCTTTGTTCAGCATATTGGACATTATTTTGAGACTTCTGTTCAGTAGCATACTGGACATTGTTCTGGGGTTTCTGTTTTATAGAAAAGTCTTCTAGTACCGTATAACCTACATCTTCTTCTGGTGGAGGTAATGTTGTAGTCTTCGGTCTAGTTCTGATTCTATTTCTTGGTTTAGTAGTTGGTCTAGTTGTAGTGTCATAAGTATCTCTTAAAATAGAAGAAGGAGTGCTGGCAAATCTATGCAATTCAGGATCAAATTTGTATTCAGATTCGTCGTTAACATTTTCATCCTTGTAATTGTACTGATTCTTAACTCTAGGCTTTTCTTCTAACTGCGTATTGATTTGGTGTAGTTCAAATTCGTTTATAGCCAATTCTAGTGGGCTTATGTCTGGTAATTGAGATTTCTGTTGAGTTTCTGGAAGATAATTATTAGTATTCTGTCTTTGTCGAGTCTCTTTTGGTTTAATGTTAACAGTTTGTTGTTCGGGTTTGGTAGTAGCATCAAAGGTTGTGGCGATTGGTTCGTATCTAACTTGTTGAACTACTCTATACAGATCATCACTTTGTTTTTGTGCACCATTATAATCATTGTACTGTTGTTGATAGGGTATTTGATCTTCTTGTGTATACGTTTGTGGACCAGTGTATGATAAACTTGTACCAGGTGCGTTGTAGTTTAGATCTTCAGTAGATTTGTAACTATTTTTTGGTGTAGGTTTAGCTGCTTCTTCTCTGTAACTATATTGGAAAGAAGATTCAGGTATACCTTTAGCATTATCGGTAACAACATCTTTAATTTGTGTGGTAACTTCTGGTTCAGACTTTAATGGTAGGTTATATTCGTTGCCAATGATTTGCTGATTATAACCAGCTTCAGGAAGATTATATTGCTTATTCTGTCCGTTGACAGAAAACTGTAGTAGTTGAGGTTGTGTGGATGGAACAAACGCACCTTGATTGTAGTAAGTTTCTCCAAAGTAAGGTTGTTGTGTAAGAGTTTCAGTTTTTGGAGTCACAGTAGGTGTATCGTCTTTTCCAAGCTGTTTAGAACTCTCTGTTTGAAATAGATTAGGTCTTGGTGTAGATCTTTTGCCATGTAAATCTTCTTTATTTGAAATAACTACTGATCCTACATGTGGAGCTGGTAAAGGTATTTTAGAGAAACCGGGTGGGGCTTTAAAGTTTAACGGTGCTACAAAGAACGGTAAGTTGTCGATATTTTTGCTTATCCTGTTACCTTCGATGCTATTAAGATATGGTAAAGGAAATTTGGTGTATTCTGGAGAATCTAATGTTGATGGTCCTATGAACAGTTCAGGTGAGTTTGGTTGTATGGTATCTTGAACAGCTATACTTTTAGCATCATGCAAAGCTGATAGAACGTCTGTAACGTCAGCTCTTTGCTTCTCGCCTTCTAGATATACAGCTAGAGGAGGTTGATGAGGCTTTCTTTTCTTAATCGGCTTAGAAGTGGTGGTGCTGACTTGGTAATAGATAGGTTCTCCGTGTTGTATTTGTTCTTGAAGTTTGGTGGCTTGGAGAGCTTGTTGGATGAAGTCTTGTTCGATCGCTGCTAGACGATGCGGCTTGTCGATTGGAGTTTCGTATCTTGGCGACTCGATCTGTAATTTTAATCAAAATTATAATAAAGTATTAATAGGTTTGAATAAACTTACTTGTCTGTAGATATTTTGAGTACCTTGGGGTACTGGTTGAAATTGCTGGTTTCCTTTTAAGTTTTCTAAAGGCACGTAGACTAATTGGACATTATCTTTAGCGTTATTTGATTTTTCTGTAGGGATATTTTCATTTAATTGCTGTACCTTCTCTTCTTGAGCGGTCTGGAACTGTAAGGATCCTACTAATTCTTGATTAATATTTAAAGGGTTAATTGTCTGGTAGAACGTCGTGTTATAAGATGGTACTGTCTGTGGAGGAGGTCCTGCCTGTACTGGTAACTGTTGGTACTGCTGATAGGTGCTCGGTTGATTCGGTTGAGGAGCTCGTATCGCTTGAGGGTTAGGTACGTATTGGGTAAGTTGAGGTGGCGGTGGGCGGTAAACGTTTAAAGGTGGAGGTTGTTGGTAATTTGGTAGTTGGACTTCTTGAGGCGGGAATTGGAACTGCAATTTTGTAGGTGGTACTGAAATTAGAAGTACGTTTGGATATTTTTTTATATAATAATGTTTGTTAACATAGTAAACAATGGTTGATTAAACTGATTGGTTTAATTCATTTTTTAGAATGTATATGGGTGGGTTACATAATATTAATATGTAATACACAAACATGTGCATTCATAGGTGAAAAAATAACAGTAAAATATTCTATCCTTCAATCTAATTAGTAATCAATATGAAATTACACGAAAACAATAGCTGATGAGCTAATGTCACACACTCACCGTTCTGTGGGAGTGCTGGGGGCACTTCAAACTTGTAGGCGTTCTCGAATTTAGGTGCGTTATGCCTATCCTTGTGTTTCGGCCTTGTCTGGAAGCTCGGCCTACTTTTCTTGTAGACGAATTCGTCGGGGAAGAATTTTTGGGCTGGCGCGTCGAGGTTTAGCACCCTGCCAGTGGGTTTCCTCTGAGTGCCATCCGGGTCATCACCGGTATTCTGGGTGATGGGGATCCAGTCGTTGGTGTCGTAGGAGCGCTCGTTTTGGGAGAACGATGAGCATATCAGATGGGCCGTTATTAGTAGCTGGACTTTTCTTATTAACTGGAAATTAAGGAAATACGTTTAATTTGAGATTTTGATAGTGTATTACAATTTTTTAATTAGGTCTTTCTTGTTTAAGTCCTTTGTGATTTAAAACAAAATAAACAACTCTAAAATACATTTCTGGTTATTATAAATAACAGTTTTTTTGCGTTTTTTTTTATGTTTATTTACGGTTTTTATGTTTTTTAAAGGGTTATAGAACATGTCATCTATTTGTTAAGAATAGTTTTGTTAAAAGTTTTTAAACATTTTTATTTCTTTTGTTTTAGATCATGTGATAGTACGTTATACACTTTTAACCCTATTTATTGAAACGTTTATTAAATTTATTTTCATTAAATATAATAATATATTTTACATTATTTAGACTCAAACACCCAAGTAAATACTAATTTACTTTCACAACATTTATGTATCTTACTTAAAACTAACTTATATCGACAAATTTTGTCAATTTATATAAAAGATGTGGTGTTCCAGACCTGTATTGAAAATTCTAGACAAATCTAGAAGCTCTTGCCACAGTTCCATCGCGACTGGTAAACTCTAGCAATTTCACGTAGGCGCCTGAACGACTCTATTACCCCATGGTAATCTTCAGTTCTTTTTAATGTAACTACGAGGCTGTCTTAATTCAAAAAGCAAAGAACTGTAATCTGTCTTGCACTTTTTTTTAATTACCCACGTATATTGTAGATAATCAGTTTTTAGGATATTTATATAGTTAGTACCTAACTAATTTAAAAATCTGTCATTTGTGAAAAAATTAATTTTTTTAGAATAATTGAAATTTTTACTATAATTTATTTTAATTTTTAAAAGTCAATGTGAATCTCCATTAGGTACAGTTGATGTTTTATAAGTATTGATAAATTTAAATTGATGGGTTTCCACATTTCCTTACTACGAACTAACATCAGCTTATAAAACTAATATACCAAAAACATATAATACACAATTTTTTAGAATATTTGAAAGCCTCTGATATATTTTAGAAAGCTTTTTTATCGTAGTAAGGTATTTCATAAAACAACAACAAAAACAAAAGCCCCAATAAAATTGATAAGTACATAACCTTGTAAAGAAGAATTAATAACCTAACCTCAGTACATTTGTCAACTGTCAAAAAATCATCTAACCTAACTAACATGAAAAATTAATAGAGGTGAAAAATGGCCTTCGCTATATGTCCAAACAAGAACTATGTTATTTGATTATTGTAATGACCTCGCAATAGATAAAATAAATTTTTGTTGAATGTCAATCTAATCTATGACTATGAAAAATTGACTTCTCCATTCGCTCCGTGCGTGACAGCAGCGCCAATTGATTTTTGTATTAATGGATTTTTGCCTATACTGACAATACAATTTTTAATAGAATTCGTAATTAAAAAGTATATATGTTAGTTTTAATAAAAGTATATGGATTTGTAAAACAAGTAAAACATTAACTTATTATTATTATATATTTTTATGGCTTAAAGTAAAGAAAATTAAGTATATTCAATAACAATCAATAATATAATAAAGGCAGGCAACAGTATTTACGGGAAAATGTATGAGAAGTTGCCTAAGTCTAATAAAAATTTTTTTGAAGAGTTAACCTATTCTGTTAAAATAAAAAAATACCTTTAAAAAATAGCGTGAAATTAAAATATATAAACAGAAAGATTGTCATTTATTATATTTTCATTTTTGTTCGAAAGAAAACATAGAAAAAATTATTAAAACTGGTTTCCTATCAGTAATTAACAAAATTACATTCCAGCCACATACAATAATTAAAAGCAGAAATCTAGTTCTTGATGAACATTTAAGATTAAAGGGATGTTGAAGAACATTGTAAAATAATAATTTATTATTTAAAACCTTTCAAGTTTCTGATGTCTACTATTTCCAGTATTACTGCTATTATTATAAAAATAAAGGTAATTTTTCTTCTTATTATACACCTATCCATTTATTTATTTGATTTCCACTGCTACTGAAAATTTTTATCATTTTTTTTTGCTAGTATTTGTATAATTTTCAACACAGCAACTTTTGTTGCTTATTGTATTGTTTTTACCAACTTTTTTGGAAAAAAGTAAAATTACAGAATAGCGCCCTAAAATGCACGAATTATCCGCAACTAGCGCTAGTATCGCTTTTGCTTCCCCTACCATGACTTCGCACTGAGCGAATAGATCCAAACAAAAATATGTTATTTGACTGTTATACTGATCTCGCTATATATCAAATAAATATTTGTGGCTATGAAAAATGGAACTCGCTATAGTTCTAAACAAAAACAATGTTATTTTACTATTGTACTGGTCTCGTATAGCGAGATCTATAGGGTCAAATAAATTCTTGTGGAATATCAAACTTACTTTGTTCAAACGTACAACAAAATTACAACATTGGGTGCTATGATTGAACGTTTACGTTATCCGTAACGTACATGTTAGGCCGAATTTTAAAAGTTCGGATGATGGAAAACTGTTAAATTAGAAGATAACAGGCGGAAAATAACAGTAACGTGTTGGAAAAAGTTTTCCATCATACGAACTTGCCTCATTACTGTTAAAACTCGGCCTAACATGTACGTTACGGATAACGTAAACGTTCAATCATAGGACCCAATGTGTTAACAAAAACAAAGTTATTTTACTATGTTACTCATTTTGTTATAGCTCAAGTAATTACATGCTATGGAAAATTCACTTCGCTATGAGTCCAAACAAACAAAAACAAAAAAACAAAAAAAACAAAAAAAAAAACAAAAAAAACAAAAAAAAAACAAAAAAAAAACAAAAAAAACAAAAAAAAAAACAGAAAAAAAAAACAAAAAACAAAAAAACAAAAAAAAAAACAAAAAAAAAAACAAAAAAAAAACAAAAAAAAAAAACAAAAAAAAACAAAAAAAAAAACAAAAAAAAAAAAACAGAAAACAAAACAAATAAAAATACTTCACTGTTGTACTGCTTTCGCCACAGGGCATGTAAATACTTAGTATTTTTTTGTGTCATCAGCCTCAACTTCTAAGATCATTAGCCTCGTGTTCTGTGCAGGATTTGTTATTGGTTTCCAGCGCCACTTTAGGAACACTCTGTTAATCTTTGTCAGTATTAAAAAACACTTGATTTATATCGCACAAATTTCCCTTTTCAATCTTACCTTGTTGCTATTGAAACTTTTCATGAAAATTACTTACAGAAAGATTAATTTCTAGGATTTTCGAACAATTATCTTATTTTGGAATGAAGTACAAAGAGAGATTATTGGGATTATTTTATCAAAATTTATACGCGGCGTGACAATTTAAAAACTCACAATTTGTAGTTCAACAATAGTTTTTAGGACTTCGGAGCAAATCTCATCAGTACCTGGTGCTTTTTTATTTTTTAAGTCTTTAATAATTGCAATAATTTCTGACGGATGTGTTTCAAAGAATACTATTTAGTTCTGCAGTGTTAACTTATCATTTGGTTGTTTTTCATCGTCTCTTTCAATTTTTTCGGCTAAGTTCTTTCCTACATTGATAAACTGATTGTTGAATTCATTACAGATACTTTTAAGATCAGTTAATAGTTCTCCATTTTCTAATGTAATTGCCTCAATTTTTTTATGCGATTTCTTATGACCACTTAAAGTTTTCACCACTCTGCACAGTTCAGTAGAATTACCAGATTTAGATGCAATTTGTTGCTTGTAGAACTCATATTTGGTTTTTGAATTGTAGCTGTTACTTTATTTCTACTGTTTTTATAGATATATTTCAAAACAACGTTATTTGGATCTCTTTGTAATTGTTTGAATAATTTGTTTTTATCATTTATTATTTTTAATAGCGAATCTGTGACCCATGGTACAATCTTCGTATTTTTTCTGCTTACTCGCTTGGATAAGGTACATTGTTTTATATTTGTCAACTTGTTAATAAACATATTGATTGCAGATTCTGGATCTTCTGCTTGATATATTTGATTCCAAGATGTCTCTATTGTAACATCATGTAATTTTTTATAATTTATATTGTTTTATGTATTTTTGTTGTTTATTATTTTCATAATTGTCATTTATAATAATTTGTAAGATGGTAGTATAGTAATCAGTTATGTCATTTTCAATTACAATTGGTAAAATATTGTCAATATCATATACGGTTTTAATAAAAATGTGATCTAGACACGACTTACTTCTGTTTTGTACTCTAGTAGGTTTGTTTATATTAGGGATATATCCATGTTCAGACATAACATTCAAATATTCAAAAACTGTTTGGGTTTCCGCTGACAAGTCTATATTAATATCTCCAGAAAATCTATGGTACATTTCATTTTTATTTTTTAATTTTTCAAAATATTCCTGTAGAGATAATACAAACATCAGCGTTAGACCCATAAGGCCTATAGCACGCGGTGACAGCAATATAAATTTAGCGTTGCGCATATCTATAATCTCCTGTTCATAATTATACCTATCTTTTATATATATTAAAACGCCATCATTTTGATTATATTCGCCCTTGTTGTATACATATATGGTTATACCCTATGGTGTTAAAAATATCTGTATCTAGTAACCGTCTAGTTTAAGTTAGTACTATACAATCTATATCTATATCTATATCTTAACTCAAACAAATAATGATTGAGAGTGAACCGTGTTGTCATATCTCAATTTTACCTTACTAGTTTTTAGCAGAATCAAAATAGAGTAAGTAGTAGAGTTGTAAGTTGTGGCAAATTATAGATAATATACAATCATAGTACTAATAAAAGATATTAATTATAACAAAAATCAGTAATGAGTAATACTTATACATTTCTTGATCATTTAAAATTAATTATTTTATGGATTGTTCAGTATTTGTTACAACTAATGGCATCGGTGTACGGAGCGATATTTGTGTCTTTGTCTGTTACGCGTAAAATCCATCTCGTCGATGACGTTCTCAGTAGTGTATTTCTAACCACGAGCGCAACATCGGGTTTTGAATTATACGGTGTG